GAAATACTTCAGTATAATTTGTTTCCCTGTCATGTCGCCCTACCCTGACCTGCGGTACAACCATACATCCTCACCGAGGACATTCTAAAGCACTGGCGATCTTCAAAGCAGATGTATAAATGGCTTCGGATTGTTTTCATTCACTCGAGTTTTATGTTTTTCGAGTGGTGAGCTTTTTTGTTCTCGTAAGGCGATCAGGCCGCACTATTAAGAGCACCACTTGTAAGACAAAGTAGAAAAGTAGGAAAAGACGTTGAAAAACAAGTCAGGTGTTTCGGACAATAATCTCTAACAAGTCGGGAGGTAGTAAAAACAAACAGGCGTTCTGTTTGCTCGTCTAAATCCGCACTGAACATTCCGAGATTGTTTCCTGTTAAAAAACGCTCCTGTTTAGACTCAGACGGTTCTTGGGTTTCTCCTGTGTGACTCCGTCCGTTCTAACCTGATTTAGAAACACAAATAAACACGGTCTTTTCTTTGGCCTTCGCTTTCTCACTGGTATGTGTGGTCTTTTTGTGTGGCTACATACCGGACATAATCTTGGAAACATGACTTGCATACAGGACAGCATTGTTTTCAAACTAAAACGTCTTATCAATAGATAAAGCCAGTGTAAACGATTCCACGATGAAGAGAACAAAAACATTCTGACAAAACTCATTTCGTGCACGGAAATACAAAGCAGTAACGATTATCTATTAATAGGTACATGTAAATGATGATATGTTGAAAAATTGTTAAATCTTGGATTCGGGACTGACAGAAAGAGTTGACACCTAACTACTGCCAGTCCTACTTCGGGAGACTACTACAACAGCTTAACCAGGGATTTTGTAAGGAATCACTTTCTTAAGACCTTTGCATACTTGACTTTGAAGGTTGACAGACAGGTGACTTAGCTTATCCCGCTGTTGTCAGGAAGTGCCCGTGACACACGTGAGTTGATACCGGTGTCCAATGTAGGGACATCGGTTCCGTACAACCAGGGTACAACGTCAAGACTGGTTATCTTGACGTCTTGGTTTATCAAGACCGTAACCTTGACTGGTTACGGGTTATGTACAGTGTTCAAATAGGGAAATACATTAAAGAATGTTTAAATCCAAGAGACTACATGTTAAACATTTATTGTTGCCACTGACATATATTCTGTACGTAGGGTGACGTTATATATACATGAATTTAGCTTTGTTAGATCTTTAGCTGTAGCTTTGTTAGATCTTTAGAGTCTTCTACAATGTCTTATAAGTTGTAGAAGATCATACAAAAGTCCCTATACTTTTTTTGTTGAGTCAATAAAGAATCTGTTTCCACAGCCCGTACCTGACTCCCCAGGGGCGAGGTAAATGAGCTGGGGGCGACCCCGGTCATTTCTGCCCGGATAACCCTTCTTGCCAATTACTCGCCCTATTTGGGGTTGAGTCTTCGGTTTATGTCTATCATTTGTGCGGCCCCGAGAGAGTTTGGGTTTGTGAACCGCCGGAGACTACTTGTACTGTTTTCATCCGTGTGAGCGAACTTGTACTAGTCTGTGTGCTACTTAAGAGAGTCTTAAAGCATTTTGAGGTAGGAATGCAGACAAGGAGCTTAGGCAGGAAACCGAACAGGCTTGTTAAAAAATTACTTGTTTCTGAGACAAAACCCAAGATGACGAACCCTGCTGAGATATCTATGAGTCAGGATACGTATCAATAGCTGTTATCAAATCTTCATGCTAGGGTTTTTTTTATGATGAGTGACTGAGGTCTTCTCTAGTGCTTTAAAATTCTCTTCGACTTCTGGATTCAGCTGGCCCAGAACAAGTCGAAGGGGAGAGTGATTTTGACCGTAGAATCAGTTCTGTCGACTTCAATATTTCGCATCCCGATCTCATAGATCAGAGAACGCCGGGAATTTAGCTGACTGTAAACCCGAACATTCCTCTCTTTCAGCGAAGGAAAATTCCACCGTTTGCTGTAGACCAACACAACATACATGCTAGCATCGGCTTTCTGAGATCTCTAAGGAGTCTAAATCTGCTTAGCACAGAGGCAAAGCCACCCAGAACAAAATGGCGTCGTGCCCAGCCCCTGAACCACGACTGTAGATTGATTAGCGGTGATATTGATGGGAAATTAACTCAATTTCTTCAACGATCCTCAAGCTTTAACTCCCACCTGCATTTTGCTGGCTCGGTGCCACCCGCTAAGAATAAGAAATCCCCGTGAAAAATTCTCTTGACTTTGCATTTGGACTAATTTTCTGCGATGTCGATGTCAGATATCTAGAAGGTCCTAAAAGTGAAAAGAAACGGCTTCCCTTAATAGGATATATGTTTCCCGTAGAGTTTTAATCTAACGTCTTACTTTTTGATTTGATGTGACACTTTATACTAAAAGACCTCGGGACAGAAAACCTTGCTGTAAGCGGGTCTGGCGCCGGGCCACCGCCTCTACCGGCTGTCACGGCCGGGACACTGCGCCAGACACAACCGCCTTTGGTACCCGATCCCAGCCGGAAGGACCAAATCACACTGACGGAACACATCTGGTCATGGACTTGGCCTTGTCGGTTTGATATACTATATGTAATAACAATAGGAAATGGTTACGCCTAAGAATATATATGTTGACAATGGATGGTATAGTACTAGTACCGTGAAGAGATGACTTTGACAATGGGCTCATCTGTTTCTTTGACGACATTTTGCAGAAATACGGTTACTAACAGCTGGATTTCGTTTGACAAATGTAACGAAAGAAGAATATCTGATATTCTGTGAAAGGTTGTGTGAAACAAAACAAAACAAACAAACAAACAAACAAACAAACAAACAAACAAACAAACAAACACAAACAATCTAGCAGCCAAAATAAAGCAACAGCAATGTGCTTAGAGGTCCTGAGCTCTTCAGTACAAGACCCAATCGCTCTAGGAATTTCCAGTTCAACAAGGAATTTAAGGCAAAGGTCTGTCCACACTGTAAAACTCCCTTCTAACAGGGAATCATTATCGTTCCTGAAGAGAGCCTGTGGGAAATCTATCGGATTCATTTGTGACACAAATTCACTTTTAGTTTTACAGTGTGGCCGCACGAACGCAAGGCACCGCCCGCAACGCCACTTTAACAGCCAACCTACAGCAATGATGAAGTCAAAACACTGTGGTCCTCTCCCTACACTAATGAGAACTAATGATCCTATAATCTCCCATGTAGCTACCTTTGATAAAGCTCAGCGGTGTACGCACATAGGTGGTTAATAGGCAGGCTAGCTAGAATAAATCATACGTTAACTTTCACAGCAATTGCTATCGTGTAAGAATGGAAAATATGGCGACAACAATCAGAACACGAGAACAACGAGGGAATACCACACCAGCCAAACAACTACAATGTCGGGCCCCACACGGGGTCTGCTATGGAGGCTATTTGTGATTTGTTAATGGCGGTAACTTATAAAATAAGGTCAGACTCAGCAAGAGCACATGAACCGCAAAGACTGGTTCTAATTTTGTAACTAACCACTGGCCAGCTGCACACTGCCGTCCACCACCGACAGGGCCGACAGAAGGGATCGCTATCAGACAAATTAGCGCCAAATAGCTTCTGTGATGCTTGAAGAGTCACAAGATGGACAAAGGGCCGAGAGGGTTCTCCTACCTCTACTCAGGGAACACTGCACTATAGTATGCTGACCACTTGGATTTTCTTAGGTTGAAATGATTGTTGTACAAAGAAAGCAAAGCACACAACGACCGACTTATGGGAGATTAGACAAAAACGGGCAAAACATTGTAGGAAAATGTTGACTTTGGGATGCAATACCGCAAAACACGTTGTTGACCTCATAAATATCGATCGAGTGCCCATATGCTGCTTCTCACATGGGTGAGAGTTTTTTTACAACATGGTCTTGAGCTCTAAGTACCTGTATCTGTAACACGACTGAGTTGTCCTTATAAATGAGTCGTAAGCCCTGCTTATTTTCCGATCAAAGGCCGGAATGTTTGTAACGATTTCTGTGAGAAGACCAGGATCAGTTCCGCCTGCTTTAGTATCGCCGTGTGTCTTTAATGCTCGGAATAACCACCTTTAATGGTGAAAACGCGCCAGGCAAACCTGTTTGCAGTTAGAGATCGAAAGGCCCCGTTCCAGGTCGTGTAGTAACGACAAGATTAGCGTTCCAGAGCCGACCATAGCGCCCTGACTCCTGGGGTAACGTCGAGGTAACCTATCCGAAGGAAACCGTTTTCAGGAAAAGCCCTGTTTCAGTGTTTGTTGTGAGAAGCTGTGAAAGCTACACGGGTAGTTTACATACGAGATATTCCATCTCGGAGCGAATGGAGACATTAAGACGTCTGTATCCTGCCGACCTTGACCGCGGGTGCATGTCGGGGGTTTCCGCTAACTCCGTCCGTATGTGGTGAAACCGCGGCCGGGGTCGTCTTTCCTGGCCGCTTTATTTTGCCGCGCCCCAACTGTAACAGGATTTAACAGAACAACCTGGCCTGATTCTGTGTAAAGACTTTCACCCTCCTTAAGCTGTCGCTGATGGTAACGGATGTTGATGGTGAGGACCACCATGACCCTGACCGCCTCTGATAGCCATGATGACAGCAATGGTGCTGCTTTTTTTGGTAATAGCAATTTAGTGTTGGTGGCCACATTTTTTTGACACTTGACATGCCACCTCACGCCTGTTTTTACAATATCTACCATACTTACATTTGGCCATATCCAGTCCAGGATGACTTACCCAACTACAAAGACTTTTGAAAACACGTGACTCTAGTAATGCATGGGTGAAAAGGTCAGTCACTCTGAAGAAGGCCGTAGCCAAGGCCGACAATCATATGTATGTCTTCGTTAACTTAGTTGGATCGAGCGTTTGGAAATACTAGTTAAGTATGTTAATGTTACCTATCAACAAAGATGAGCTTTAATCATTTAATGTTAAGGTACTATGTCCTTAAGTGTCATTGCTATATTATCATTAACATTGTCTATTATTCCCCGGCAGCCGTATGTCGTGACGCGTGTGTGCACGGAGTCTGCACCATGCCTGACATGTGTACTTGTCACACCGGCTGGAGAGGACGGACATGTAACAAAGGTCAGTACCAGGTCTCTCCAAGCAGAGGTTGGTGGGGAAGATTGTGTCTTTTCTATAATATGCCTCGTTTTCTGCCGCTACTGTAGCAACAGAAGTAACAGGACCCAACTTCACATCCCTCTTTGAAAACGTCCTCACACGTTAAAATCTAAAACAAGCTTCCCTTTTCCACCAGAAACTCTGTTTCTCTTCTTGGTACATCCAGAAACCAACTTTTGTAGGTCTCTTGTACCGTCTTAATCTAAACTCTTTTTGCTACCCTAACCTAAGCTAAGCTCTTTGTTCAAACCTTATTTTTGTCACCGAACCTTACTTCCTTCTTTGTCTTGGCGAGTTGTTTGAAACGCAGCCAAGTAACACAATGTTAACCAGCAAGGTGAGCGACTTGCAGCTGTCGGAGTGAGTCAACTTCACGATCAGGTGACAGGAGTTTCCGTCTGCTTGTTGACAGTAGAAAGCTAACGGGCAGTGGCGAAGAAATCACGCTTTCTTCAACACAAAACTCAGGGCGTTGAGTGACGAGGAACACAAGGCTAGCTAAGAGGCACGCACCTCATATCAGCATTCAGCAGAAGGTCATGGTTCGAGACAGCCGAGAAAGGCCAATATAAAACTTGCGCGTTTCCAGACAGGTAACATATCTTAACGTAGTCTTCTGTGTAGGCCTCCGGGCGGGGGAGTTTTGATACTGCGTTTTGGAGAATCATTAACGCCTTCTTTTGCGGCCAACCAGCCGCCCAGAGAAGGTTTGTACCCGTCACGTATCCGAACTTCTTTCCGCCGGGAGGGCCTGCACAGGAGGATACTCTCAGTGCAGCTTTTTGGCCTTGGATGCAGCGCCATCTGTTGACCAAACTGCTAATTGCAGGGTCTATCCCTGGGAATATCATGTCACAATGTCTTTTTAATTATATCCATGTTCACGTCCATCTATTGTCGTTTCAGATTTCAACGAGTGCGGGCACAAGCCTCGTCCCTGCCAGCACCGCTGCATGAACGCCCAGGGCAGCTTCAGGTGTTACTGTAACCACGGGTACTCCCTACAGCCGGACGGGACGTCATGCGCAAGTAAGTCAACGATAAGATTCAAGTTTGAAATGTCAAATTTCCAACGAAATTGCAGCCTTCTTCAGGTTGACTGACCCAATTCCTAATAGCACCTGACGTTACGGGGCACGTGACTCCGGGGTAGTGGGTCAAAGGCTCCTGGAAGTCTACATCGCCACCTGTCAGGGCTAAGTGAAGGTCAAGGGTTTAAACTTCTCAGAATATCTGATAGATGTAAGAATTTTGCAAGTGGGCTTATCTACCAACACATTTTATCACTGTCGCCTTCCATGTTTACTTTTGTTTCTACATTTCTTGCCTTTTAGTTTTGGAGTGAAGAGTAGACTGACTACAGTGTTGTTTCGTTGTAGAATCGCTTGTGTGCGCGTTACGGAAGTGCCAGTTCATGTGCCGGGAGGTGAAGAAGGGAGTTCCGGAGTGTTTCTGTCCGGAGGGGCTGGAGTTGGGACCGGACGGGCGCCACTGTGTAGGTCAGTACGTACTGTGTTACTATTTTCTTAATCTGTGCCTGCAACAAGAAATTGCTGAAAACAAAACACAGTGTCACATGTCCTCTCTTGTATTAGTAAACGACTTATGGCATGTTCCACTTCAACATAAAACGTAGAATGTCCTTTCATCTGAACATGATAATTTTAAGCTTTGAGAGAATGTACGTACTAATATTACCTTCTGTATACTTCCAGACGTTGACGAGTGTGCGCGTGGCTTGGTGACGTGTCCGCGGCGGCGGGTGTGTAAGAACACGTTCGGGTCGCACATGTGCGTGTGTGCGCAGGGACTGTCCTTCAAGTACGTGGACGGGAGGCTTCGGTGTTTGGGTAAGTTCGAAGGGTTTATGATAGCTAGAGAGGACACGAAAGTGTCCCTTAGCTGTCCCTTACTACTTCTTCTTTTGATTTTTTTACTTGTCAAACATCCTTGGAAGCGTTGATTTCGCTGTGCATCTTTGTACAGAGTTGCTGTCTTTTACCACTTTTACAGTCATGTTGGCTCCGATCACACATGAATGGTGTCATGTGATTATGAAAGATTGAATACAAAGTATGTGCATTTTGTAATGCCTACACATGGACCGTTACGTTGTAACAGGCGCGGACGTGCAGATGACAGTGGTGGTGGTGGACCCCAAGGACACAGAGGAGCCGATCAGCGACTCGCAGGTGCGCGTCCTGTCCGAACCGAAAGGGGGCGGTACTAGCGTGGTCACAACGGGCCGGACGGATCAAAACGGACTGTTGGTAAGTCAAGCTCATCTCTATGTAAATGCTTTGACTTTGGCTTGCATTAGCCTCCTTCGCAGACTTCTGAGGCGTCATAAGGCGGCAAAACCGTCCGTCCGCGGCATAACTCGCGTCGCTCCCCGAAAAAAAGATAAAATAACGCCTCCGTCTCTCAAGTCTAAGAAGGAGGCTAGGCTTGCATGTTTTATTTTCATTTCGGTAATGCACTTGTCTCTCTTCACAAGAAACTTACGAATCACAAATCTGTTTTTTTTTCTCGCAGACGATCACGGTCCCCTCCGAGAAGCCGCTGATCATCGTCGCCAGTAAGGACGGCTTCCTGACTAATGCGGTGACGTTCGAGGCTTCACCTGGACAGAGTGAGGAATTATTTCCCCCATTACTACTTTTACTCCTCGTATAAACCGCAAATATCAAAATGTTCTCCAAGATCGTCGTATATGCGCCTGGATCGTCCTGAAGGATAACTTTGTTATATCATAACAAAATATCCTATCTTGAAGCCCCCAAGAAGCACATTTTTCGTAGTATAGTAACGTTAGAGGTCCAAACCTAACAACCCTGCACAGGACCTAACTGCAGAATGTTCAAAAGATGAGGTCTTCAAATTTCCAGAAAAAGAGGTTTGTTGCCTTCTCTTCATCTTTAGCTCTCTAATAACTGGGATATGTTACATTTTCTCCCGTCAGAGAACATCGCGACCCTGCGGCTGACTGTGTACCGTGAGACGGAGGATGTGGTGTACGACAGGCAGGAGCTCACCAGAATATACTTCGAACGGCGGAGTGATCTCAACGACGCCAGCAGCGTCATCTTCCCGCCAGGTAAGTGAAAGACCAATATCTTATGTCATTGTGAAAGAACGTTCTTGGCCATACCAACCTGATGACGTTATTTTTGGGTTCTGCATTGGCGTAATGGTCAGAGTGTTCCGCTCGGAACCATGAGGTCACGGGTTCGATCCGAGGCGCCCTTGGGAAAGGCACTAACACAACTTTCCTCCCTGTATGGTGGAGTGACGCCCATCAGGTCTTTCGGTTCATCGATGATACTGTGTCCAGACACAGATAAGGGCACAGACGGATTTGGTGTCGCCAATATGCCAAGATCTGCACAATTGCTACTAAGAACAGTATAATTTTCTGACTGACGTTGCACACTACCAGGCACCTCCTCTTGGTCAATTTCCTTCCTTTCTGGGTGTTTTCCTTTACTATGTTTTCTTTTTCTTTTCCTTATTATTTTCCTGATGTTGCACACTCCCAGGCGCCCTCCTGATGGACGACAGTGAGCGGGCCACGGTGTCGTTCCGCGGGGTGGACGTGTCCCGTGACCGGGTGCTGCAGGGCCTGCCCGAGCTGGTGGGCAGCATCGAGGAGAACATCAACCAGGTCGATTTCGAGTTCGAAGGTCAGCAAACTTAACGGAATTTCTGAACTTGCCTTCGTCGTAAATTTTGTTCAAACATTTCACCAACGAACACTCAGAGGAAACGTATGTGTCCTTTAGACTTGACGTGATGTTTAAATGACGTCTGCGAAGAGCAACAACGTTGCTTGCTTTGACTGACTAAAACTAACTTTTAGTGTAACACGTTTTGTCGTTAATATCTATACCCGTATCTGTATCTGTATATCCGGTATAACCATCCTTCGGTGTAGGCACGCGACGCAGGTGCGCGACGCGGTGGCAGATGACTATATTTAACGAACGGCTTATTTCTGTATGTCCAAATAAAACTGGCTTATTAGGACACCAAAGCCGTATCCATTGTACTTACTTGCCCCCCCCCCCCCCCCCCCCCTTTTATTCTACCCCCAGGAACGTCCCGCATCAACCTGGAGGCTTACGGCGCCGCTGCCGTGGACATCCGGGCACCTGGCAACCGGCGTGTGAGCGTCAGTTCAACCTTCAACATCTCCATACCCCTAGCGGAGGACTTGGACGGCACAGGTATCCATTAATCATACTAGTGCTAGTATGTTGTAATCTGGTGACGGTTGTTGAAATGTAAGAGCGGTTAGGGCCATTTTTCCTCGAGAACTTTGGATACGACCATGCCCACCGACTGCGACGAGAAAAAGGATATATCTAGATCAAAGTCGCCTGATCTAGATATAAAATCTGATATGTGTACTATGTTATTTTTTTTAGCCTATCCTATTCTTGTATAATGCCGCATTTTATCGCACCAAAACAATTAAGTAATTAGGTGTAGCGGAATAAGTTTTCTATTGATCCTTTGGTGAACATGACTCTTGTCATTTACTATTTTGTTGATTTTTGCCATTTTAAGAGTTTCTGAAACTCACGTATACCATGTCTATTCCAGGTGTGGTTGCTCTGGAAGGCTGGCACTTTGACGAGGACCGCGGCGTGTGGGTCCAGGAGGCGATCGGGGAGGTCCGGCGGGTGAACGGGCGCATCACCTGGGAGGGCCCGGTGTCGCGCACGGGCTGGTGGGTAGCGGGGCGGCCGTGGAGGGACGCCAGCTGTGTGCGGGTGCGCGCCTGCTTCGACGACGACTGCGCCAGGCCCGTGCAAAATGCCGCCATTAGGTAAAGTACAGCTGGGTTGTCTGAAAACCTGGTAAATTACTCATCATTTCTTGGTACAAATTATGGCTATTTTTAAAGTAAAGGCACTCAATTACTAGTAACAGGTGTGTCTTCGCAGCTTTTTCTCCTTTACTTCTTTTGAGCTAGATGCGTTACGATTCGCTAGCTAGTAGTGTAATGAGACTTCGATACAGATCGCATATGTAGCAAAGTACATCCGGCCAAATATACTCTTCTCAAAAGTGTGCTGGGCTCTTTAACATGCAGAGCTTTGACGCTTGAGGCTAATGCCAGGCAATCTACCTCATACATGGGGATACCTGCTTAAATTTTTTATGTAACCATCCAAGATGACAAGCAATCCCCAACAAAACTTAAACACGCGTCTCTTTCCCCCCAGACTTGCAGGCCGTGACTACGGTTACTTCACGCAGCGGTACACCGACTCGGACGGCCACACCTGCTTCAACATCCGGCGGGGCGGGACCGTGCAGCTCCGGCCATGCTTCGGACCTGAGGTGTGTACCGTCAAGTAAAACTTCCTATCAACTTTTATCGAAGTGGCTGTATTTTTTTTGTTCCAACATTTACATTTCAGATGGGATCATTGCCGACATTTCAAACATTTCAGATGATGAGACATGGTGGCGGCACACTCAAGTTACGTCAACTGTACAAATGTATAAGAATACAATGCACGACAACGCTTTGTAACATTGCAGCAGTGACACCTAGCGTACGAATCGGAAGCAGTCATTGTTGTTACCCTGAAGATGGTGAAAGACGGTCACAGAAACGTCAAAACTGAAAACCCCCTGGTTGTTGCATGAAGAAACCTTAGTTATACTGTCTCTTGCCAACCTGATGAAATCGTTCATGTGTGTAATATAAATTTTGATACTGACCCTAGTCAACTATGATGTTGTATTTTCCCAAACTCGCAAGTCATCCTGTATATGTGAGGTACAAATATAGCTACTTCCAATTATATGAATAAACAGTCTATGTCTATACTGTATATATGAGGCTTCTTGATCTTCCTTCCAATATAAAACAGTCTATGTCTAAACTGTACTCACCAGGTGGTGGTGGCAGGTACCGGGCAGCCGGCGGTGTGCAGGCGGGGGATGGGCGCTCAGTGGTTCGACCCGCACCAACGCTCCACAGGGCAGTGTAAGGACGTCAAGATACGGATATCAGGTACGGCATGGTCTTAACATGGCGACACGGGAGTGTTGGCTGTTGCAGAAGGACACACTATAAGCATCACAATAAGCAGTTCAACCAATGAGAGAATGACATTTATTTGCTCGACCAATAATAGAGTGGCTTCATGTCCGTTTATACTTCATTTTGCATGTCTACGGAAACAGGGTGGGACGGAGGTGGGATGGACTTCGGGATCAGTCTATTGCAAAACCATGGAGGTAGAAAATCCTCCATGGCAAAACTATCAAAGGCCCCATTCCCACTAGGGTAAAATTGTCCGGATTGAGCCGAATTGAATCGCTTTGATCCGGCTTCGATCCAGATCATTCCTACTCTGTACTTGATTTACATGGGAAAACTTCCGATATTATGCTTAGTAATGAGAGTCAAGTATTACTTTCTACCCCTTCCAGAGTTTGACGTGGTGGACTGCGGCGTCCCACAGCTGAACGTGGGCGTGGTGACGGTGGGTGACGTCACGGGCGACACGTCGTTTGGCGCGAACGTGACGTACAGGTGTGACGACAGCTCCAACCCGTACGGCGGGCACCTGACGCGCCTGTGTCACAGCTGCGGCACCTGGAGCGGCAGTCCGCCCAGATGTGGTGAGATCTTAACCTTAAAACAAACAAACAAACAAACAAACAAATGGCTAGGGAGTGAGTTCCTAGAGAGAACCAGCCCTAAGAAAAAGCATCAGAACTTCAACTGTATCTGTGGTTTACAACCCTATCCAGGATTCGTATATTCTATAGACTTTGTTTTTCTTTCTTGGGTCCCCCCAAAGACAGAAAGTCATAGCTACTTGTATTATCTTAAGTAATTCTCCTCACCAAGGAATCAAGTAATCATTGAATGCGATATTTTCATGATTTTGGATTTAGATTATTTAAAGAAGTGATCACCTAATGGATGAACTGAACAAGTATTTCCGGATAAGATAAACTTCAGTGACTAATTTTCAAAAATCTCTTTTAATATATTTCAATACCCTGGCATGTGTATCATTTTCATATTGTTTAATCACAATGTCTTTGTTGTTCACAGATGCCTACGAGACAGCATTTGAAAGTTTTGCACTCTTGGACTCCCCCTAGCGACTGCAGATGGCACTGCACAAGATTAAAGCATTTGACATATCTAGTTGTGTATCGTTTGTCAACTGTATTTTTGCTATAAATGTCTGGATTTTTTCCAAGATATTAATAAAGTAGAGAGATGATGTCTACTTGCACTTAAGGTGATTTAGTAGAATAGAATATGAATGATACAATAAATTTTGTAGGCTGTTTTTTTTATGATCAAAGTGCTAGTTTTCTGAGCATCAGTATGTTCAATACGTGATTTCAAAATAAACCTGTACATTTGCCACAACTGACTTGTCAATGAGTGAATTTGCCAGAAACACTATTGTACCAGATTTACACAGTATTCTACATATCATAAGATTCTAGTGAAGGTCAGTATAGGCAGCTTTTTTGTAGAATTATGGAATAGTCTATGCTTACTAGTTATTTCCATATAAGGCTTTTATTGGCTTTGTAGACTTAATATGTCATTAAGATATCTATTGGAACAATCAAACTTGATGTTGAAATTATGGCTGCCACTCAGCACCATATTTACAGACTAGATGTTTCATGTCCTTTATGTTGTCTTTTGTGTACCTGAAAAGGAAGTACTAGTACTAGTAATTGGTGCTATCATAGTGTAATCTATGGCACAAATATCTAGACAATGTTTAGGCTAGGGTGAAAATTACATTAGATCACAAGCCTGGGATCCATCCTTATCTTAGCTCATAGGGTCACTTGCCTCTACTCACCAAGCAGATGTTATGTTTGCAGGTTATTCTTGTTTTTTTTGGCAGCATTTTCTATGATTCTGTTTCCCTTTCCCTTCATTCTCCTTCCTCTTGAAGGACAGAAATCATGGCTACTACTACATGGGGAAACAGAATAATAACCCCCAGCCAAAAGAGTAAGTTCTAGATAAAGCCCACAGAGATGAAATTGCGATGGATACCAGGTCACTAGGTCATAGGATGCACCTTTCAATACCCTCAACACCAGCAGTGCTGGATGGAGGACATACAACTACTAGTCCTGACCAGAGAGTCAAGACATTCAACTCCAGTTTAAATACACAGCAATAGGTACATGTATGTACCATTACAAGAAGACAACATCGTGTACCTTTGAACCTTAAGTATTTTTTTTGTACCAAGTGAACATCTTAAATATTACAAATCATCCTTTTCTACTGTTGAACATGAAGGTTTCCTTATGTTGTTTTCAGAGAACAGCAATTAAATGTGTTGTTGTGCAACCAGTTTCTCCTTGTATCATTGTGTTCTCTCAATCCTTCACAATTTTGACTGTAGTACATGTAAGTTGTTTGTAATATGGTTCAATGGACTAGTAATCCTCCTTCTGAATCATCAAGGGATTTCAATCCCAACCAACCAGTCAACACCTTTCCGCAGGCTATAGCCCTTTGATTTGAATAGGTAAAAACATTGAGCCAGAGGTCCCATGTATAAGGACATACTAGTAACATTAATGTTACAGATGTAAAAGAGGTGTAAAACTTTGTAAGGTTGTGTTTGAGGAAGTGAAGTATAAAATCCAGCTCATGTGATGCCTTGCGGACTCCTGTCTGCAGTTGTTTAGTGTTCCCCCTTTACTACCAAACTTTGTTTTGGATGACAAGTTCCTCCGTTGCATGTAAAACCTGTGGTGACCAGTCCTTCAGCGCGACAGCTAAGGTAAGTGGCTTGTGCCCATTGTTTGGACAAATCTTCTCTCCTAGACTCCTTGCAAACACGTGTGTCATTGGTTCGTCTTTTCCCAGCAGCACTCGCGTCGTGTAAGTCGGCGCCGATGTGCCGTCCACGGAAACGCTGGGTACGACCTGGACTAACGTGCCAAGTTTCTGGTACTGTGTCACCACCACAAAAACGGAGTCACCAAACGACGTACAAACAATGTCGGTATGGACGCCATTGACAGTAGCTGCTCCCTGCTTGGTTCTTGGTGTTCCTCCTGCCATCTAGCATAGAACAGGAAACAAAATGTCCAATTGATGCATGACGTATAAATGACAAGTTTGCAGAGGTGCCAATCAAGTAAATACCTTAAGTATAGCAAAGAACATGAAACTGGCACAACTGTAACATTTAAGTAAGTTACGCTGTCTAAACTTGTGTCAGCTGCAACGTCTGATGTAACATATCAGTCTATTAAAGAGTTGTGGTCATAAAATTATATTTTATAACCAAAACAGTGAAACATAAAGCTGTAAGTGTAACAATGGTATAATTCTACAGAACTTACTACTTCATCGTAAATGTCCTTGAGTACCTACCATAGGTGCATCAACATCAAGGAGGTTAAATCCTTGAGTGCATGGGGTAGCAACAGGGGTAGCAACTGCAGTAACTTGTTTATATCATGCATGACATGAGGATAGAAAGAGGCATGGCTAAGCAGCAGGGCAAGCAGAATGCAGGCGTGAACGAGCACTAAAAGAGATTCCAGGCATTTAGAATAGAACTCAAACTGACCGCACGTTCTTCTATCGTAGTAGCCGCTTGACTTTCCTCTGTAACAAGCAGAAATCAAGAACAAATACCAGAAAGAACGAAAATTTTACCTTTCTCACAAGTTTCTATACACTTCTCGTCGTTTCACGTGAAATCTCGCCAATTAAGTCACGTGACAGCCCAAACCTGCCAGTGACGTCATCATCATGGCGACTGCACCACTTCATTCTTGGTTCAAATTTTTGCACCGACCAAAATTGATGATTTCCTCAGGATTTAAAGGACTCCTGACGACAGTTTGTATTCCATCGTAGTTCTAAGATGTCGAGCAAGGCTACCGATTTGGATTTTTGACGTAACACGTCGCAGATTGGTAGAAAATTTGAGTTTGAATATCTAATTAGGTTGTGTTTTTGGAGCCATTTTTTTCGGGGAAGGCGGGTTCTTGGCGCGGACGGACAAAGTGCAACATCTCCCCTCGTTATCCAACGGAAAACCCGCCATTCCTGCAGCGCCTGCTGTTTTGGTTGGGATCGACGGCTGCCTAGCCGTCGTAGCTGAGATTTCAAACCCTACAAAAAGGTATGTATATCGTGACATCCCTTGTGAAGATCAAAATTGCTACCGATCGTTTGAAAATTCTTCATCACAAATCTTTCAATATGGGTGAAAAATGTCGGTCAGACATATGTTGTGATTATGTTTGTACATGTCACAAACCAAGGGGCAATATCACGAGACAGCGACCGTTATAGGCATGTTACCGGGCTCATCGCGCCCGCGAGCACGTTGTCAAATTTTCTCCCTTTGTATCAGTTTTCGTGAAGCCCTCTCAAGTAACGCTAGTTGGATTCGCGCCAACTACGCAACGTTCAGCTATCACGGCAAGAAATAGTTCTTCCCGCCTCCCATCTTACTTACTCATCTTCTAGTAAACTACATACCGACTTCTCAGAGTCGTGTAAACACTCTGAGAAATGTGGTTTTACGTTTTAAACGTGTTTTAAGGGTGTGTCGAGTGGCGGGTGGTTGGAAGAGTGGCCCCACCGCATGTAAAGTTTCGGGTCAATGAGGTCATGTGTGGAATACAATAGTGGGCGGTACCAAATTATCCGGAGGCGGGGGTTGGAAATACCTTCTCCCTCGTTATGAGCTAAAGAAACCATAGCATAGCTAGGGAGAAACAGACTTAGATGTTTTATTTCTTCACCATTTTGTCACGCCATACCCACTTATTGCTCGTTTACAGCAAGCAGGTACTAGTAATGTTGATCATCTGTTTTTCATAGTGGTAAAACAAATTAAAACAGATGCATCATTTCTAAAACATTCTGTATTTTCTCTGTACAACTTAGTATTCTATTACAATGTACTTCGAATTTTTGGTCGAAAAATAAAGCATGTATTATCGTAATATTCTTTTAATTTTCCCTGTTGCCTTCGTCACCAAGTGACCCTTATGTACTTGTAAACAGTGAGTCGAGCTAAGCATGTCAGTGTTTTGTTATGAACTGTGATATTTGGAATTGAATCCTTGATTAGAGCTGCCCTGCTAATACACATACTTTGTAGGGCTTCCAATACACATGCAAATTCATTAAACACATCTTAAAGATAACAAAAACATTCAGAGTGTTACTGTTAGATAAACAAGGTTAAAAATGGGACCTCCTTGGTTAGACAGTGAATACAAACATGTAATGATGATGCAATCTTCAAGCAGATATTTGGATTAAGCTGTAATGTTTTCTGGCTGCCCCATTTTTGGTGGTTGCATGAAAATGTTACAATCTTTCACCTCAACATCTGCTTGGAGGTAACAGAAATCTGTACGCTTTTGCCGTAACATGACCCAGATATAAACCACCAGTCCATTGAGCCCTGCAGGTCTGTACGCTTACAAGCTTTATTGTCATGCAAATGAGCAGATTTGTGTGAACAATAGAGCTAAAATGTGTGTGTTAATCTATAGTGATCTTATGATAATGCACATATATAAAGGTTGTACCTATTCCTTTTTAGAGGTATGGTGTTGGGTTTTTAATTTCAGCAAGCAATGTGTTTCTAACTCATTTTCACAAAGGAGTTTCGGAATAGAACCTTTTACCACATGGTATTTGTTGAGTAAGATGCGTGTTCAGTTCTGCATCGTTGGCAGCAATTTGAGCATGTTTGTTTTGTTGATGTGTCTGATTATGATATCCTGTTGTAACAGTTTCGGGGAGATGTATCCTTGTTAGCATTTACACTTATTGATTTGCTGATGTGTCTGGCGTTTCTTTTTTTTTAGTCATGGAGCGGCGGGCGCCCAAACGGCGTAGAAGTCGCAGTGATGGGAGCGATACTGACGATGAGGTGTCTAGAGGTATGTACTCCTTCTCATTATCATTCATTTATTCATTCATTCAGACATCCTGAGCCTGAGGCCTTTAGCCTAACAATTTTAAACTGGAAGTAGCTGTGGGAAATTGTTTGAGAGAGTCACAGTTCCCTTATTGGCTTCCTGCCACACGTTTTGCATGTATCAATTGGCAAGTGGTCAAAAGGTTAGACTATATTTGCACAGCCTTGGCACAGATAAGTTTGTCCATTCAATATTTGACACTGGACTTTCCTAGAACTGAATATAGAAAATTTCTATATTAAAGTTTCATAGAATCTACTGAATCTATTATTGATTTAGCTGAGTTACACAGAAAATTGGGCTTTCCATTTTTTATATATTCTTAGTATCCCAGGAGTTGCATTAGTTTACTGTCAAGCATTACTGTTGAATCTTGGAAAATTTGAAAGTTATCATTTTAAAAGGAAAAACACTATACTGTTCTGAGAATGCATATCAAGCTGTACAGTTTTTCTAGGATCAAATACAGCGTCTTAGGCTTCTTGCTGAACTCCTACCAATGTAGTATTTTCTTACTCTTGACTGCGTATTGTTTAGTCTCATAGATAGTGTGTTATGTGTGACTAATCTAACATTAGCCCAATGAACTGGAAGTGTACCATACACCATGTGTGCCATGCCCTGCCTCCCTGGTAACCCCCCCTGTTGTACCGACTCAGCTGTCTCCCCAGACAGCCTGCAGGGTCCCAGTAGCAGCACCTCCCAAGCCTCGGGGAGCGTCTGCTCCCTGCCTCTGTCCACCAACGATCGCGAGCAGGACCCCGTCTCAGGTACCACGCCTCTCCTTTCTCTGTCTGCCAGGCCTCGAATTCAACAGTATCCCAATGTGTCCTAATCACAGAAACTTCCTTTCACCAGGGAAAATTTATGGAAAACGCTTCTGGAAAACAATAAATTGTAACATGTTGTCTCTCCTCGCATGTACAAAACTTTGTTTCATCTCACCATCTTTTCCACATCAACATTGCAATATGGCTGTATGATACCGTATTGTAATACAAAAAAATACAAAGCTTTGGACTGTTCAGGGTAGTTGAATGATGCATTCGCACATTTAGTGGACTGTAGGGGACATTTTGTTCATTTTGAGGCCTGGCCTGCACAGTCTTCAACAAGACTGTCTCTCAACTCCCTGCCATACTTTATGCAACAAAGGTTGGTTGTCAGTGGTTTGGTGGTTGTTTTCCCCACAGATTCCCAGTTCTCCAAGTTCGGCTCGCCGTCGGAGCGGAGCCTCCACTCCAACAAGCCTGCGGAGATGTTCCGTAAGGACCTGATCTCGGCGATGAAGCTGCCCGACTCGCAGCAGTTGCAGCCCGAGGACTTCCTGGTGATGACGGACACGTGGAAACAGGAGTGGGAGCGCGGCGTGCAGGTGCCTGTCAACCCTGACATGTTCCCACACCCCACCATGAAGGAGATTGTTCCACGGGAGAAACAAGGCTGCTTTAAGATGTAAGTTCTGACGTATTTCTGTGGTGGATGGTTGACAATATTAGTCTATACTAGTAGTTGCCCCTTGCTGCCTTATTTATGTAGTCCCTTGAATGGTGGTTACCCGCCAAAAAACACAAGAGTCGGAAGACTGCATATTACTTAATTGTCTATGATAGAAAGAGACATCGGTTTTGCAGGGCCTGCCTTGGTGACTGCCATGAAGTTCTGGAATGACTTTATCTATGTACCTCACCAGATTTTTAAAATCCGGAAGAACGATGATGATGATGGCTATGCCCTCTCTTTATCTGTAGTCAGTTACAATTCTGTTTCCTTCATAACAATCTGACAATTCTCTCTTGCATCATGTTTTTGAAGGCCTCGAAAGTTGCTGAAACTGTCTGCTCCTGAGAAGGACAGTGAGGGTAGTGTGACCCTGCAGCTGGCTGACAACACGTGTAGGTACGACCTGGACGATACAGACCTACACTGGCTCACGGTCGTCAACACCGAGAGAGAAGTTACGGGTAAGGACTGCATTCATTCTTCATATTCTGTGTGGTGTAGTGGTAGAGCATCTGACTGTCAAGCAAGGGGACCCAGGTTCAGTCCCCAGGGTTGGACCCAGACATGTCCGGACATGCACCAACATGTCCGGACATGCACCAACATGTTCGGACATGCCCTTGGGAAAGGCACTTAACACGTATTTCCCTCCTCAGATAGAGGGATCCTGGGCCCTACTAGGGTTTGGGTTGGTCTTTAGGAAGGGCATCCAGCCGTAAAAAAAGAATGTTGCTTAAAAAAAGGCTTGCACTTCATGCAAGCACATCTAACCCCCAGTTTCGGTGAAAAAGGACGCTAACCTGGATAGACAGAGAGAGAGAGAAAAAAAGGCAATTCAAATTTAAATTTTATCAAAAGGTACTTGAATTGGCCTAAGATAAGAGAGCTTTGCCATCTGAGAAGTCTGCCTGGCCAGTTTAGAGAGTAGAATGAAACAAATCCTTGACTCCTTGCTCTCAGAAGTACATGTATGCTCTTGATTACGAGAGATGACAAATGTTTTTCAGGTGAAGCAGCCATAGATGAGTACACGATGGAGCGGGTATCTGTTTGGTGTAGTGGTAGAGCATCCGACTGTCAAGCAATGGGACCCAGGTTCAATCACTTAACATGTATTTCCCCCCCTTAGTTAGAGGGATCCTGGGCCCTACTAGGGTTTGGGTTAGCGTTATGAAGGGCATACAGCTTGCTTCAAAAAAGACTTGCACTTGATGCAAGCACGTCCAACACCCAGTTTTGGGGAAAAAAAGACGTTAAACTGGATACTGGAGAGAGAGATAAGACTTTCGCCATCTGAAAAGCTGGTTTAGAGAGTATAATGAAACAAATATGAGAAGTAAGCTATTTATTAAGAGAGAGATTACCCATGTATTTCAGGTGAAGCAGCCATAGATGAGTACACGATGGAGCGGGTTATAGAGGAGCTGGAGAACAAGTGCCACGAGAACAAGCAGCTGACGATAGAGACAGAGGAGGGGCTGGGGATAGAGTATGACGAGGACGTCATCTGTGATGTCTGCAGATCGGTGAGTTGGGTTAAACATGTTCCTGGAACTGTTTGTTGTTTCTAAATTAAAACAGCAGCTTGTTTGTGTTTTTCTTTGCTCCATTTTCCAAACAAATAAGGTAAATGACTTGGATCAGACAGCTGTCACCATGGTAACTGGTGATTTAGGAAATTTTCATTAGGTTGCTCATAGGTTGATTTACATGTATATTTCTTCTCAGCCTGACTGTGAGGAGGGGAATGAGATGGTATTTTGTGACAGCTGCAACATCTGTGTTCACCAGGTAGGTGTTGCACTTACCTCTAGATTTCCTGTATGCTAAAACCCTGTTTTGTCATAAGATATTTAAGTGTAGACTCTTGTTAGAGATTCTAGGTGTGTAGTCTGTATCCAAATCTGAAAAATTATTTTATCCCCACTTTTTGATTAAAGTTTGAGGTAATTTTCTTGTGTTTTTTGTCACCCAGGCGTGCTACGGTATCCAGAAGATCCCAGAAGGCAGCTGGGTGTGTAGAACGTGTGCCCTCGGGATCACACCAACATGTCTGCTCTGTCCCAAGAAGGGAGGGGCCATGAAGAGCACAAGGTGGGAATAATCTGTGTTTTGTGATCTGTTGTGTTTCCTGTAGGAATATTTGGGAACAGTAAGTTTGTATTCCTGAAAATTGGCATGTGGCAAACGTGAGAAAGTATAGAAACGAGTGAATAAAAGTAAGATTATTAAGAAGAATAACGTGTACTTTTTTTCCTTTGTGTTTGGATTTAATCGGTTGTTGTGTTGCTTTCTGCAGAAGTGGAACAAAATGGTGCCATGTGAGCTGTGCATTGTGGGTACCCGAGGTCAGCATAGGGGTTCCTGAGAAGATGGAGCCAGTCTGTAAGATCTCCCAGATCCCTGTAAGTATGTTCGTTAGTGTGTATGTATGTGTGTGTGTGTGCGTGCATGCTCGTGTGTTTGTTGTGTGTTTGTGTAGTGATTGTGTGTGTCTGTGTCTCTCTTATGTCATGTTAATAGATCTTGCTATACTTAACAAGTTCTAAAGTTTGCAGTAATACAGGTTGCCTTTACTTGACTTTATTAGGATTCACAATTTAACTTGACATCTCAGCTATTCTTCCTGTGGTCCTTAATTTTGACCTGTACTATTCCCCCACAGCCCAGTAGATGGGACCTGATTTGCTGCTTGTGTAGAGAGAGAACCGGGGCTCCTATACAGTGTGTGGTACGTTTGTCTTCTCATTGGGCAAATTTTTTATGTTTAAGGTTACTCAAAGTGTGAGGATGAAATCATAAGAAGTTATGAGTGGATGTTTTTTATGTTTGTTATGTGTTTAGACATTGATCAGTGAAAGCAATTTTACACACGGCTGGTTGTAGTTGTGTATAAGATGTGATAAGACACCTGTGATGTTAAGAGTGTTGAATTTTAGTGATTTTCCTTTCATACTTTCCAGGTGACCACCTGTAAGGTAGCCTTCCACGTCACCTGTGCATTCCAAAATGGTCTGGAGATGAAGACTGTATTAGAAGGTCTAGATGAAGAGGTCAAGTTTAAGGTAAGGTGTTTCATTATTATTAAGTATGCAATTCAACTTCTTGCCCTGGTCTTGCCCTGCCCTGCTAAATGTTGGTGTTAGACATTTTGTGTTAGGTTGTATGCATTCTAATTATTGTGTCTAATTATTTTCCAGTCATACTGTCCCAAGCACACTAAAAAAAGACAAGGAGTCACAGATGGGGCGGCTGAGACCACTGTAAGATCCTCATCAACTTTGTCACCCAAGAAAAAGACGGAGGAGGAAAAAAGGAATGAAAGAGCTGACAGGTAAAGGAGTTCGTAACCTTTCCCTGAAGTAATGTTGTGTTCTTCCGTTGGATGTAAAGTTTGTGAATGAAATGTCTGTAGATCCAGTTTAAGATGAAAAGCTTATCGTCTACTGGTTGTGACAAGGACAGACATGATGTTCTGTTTATATGTATGACAAGTACAATCAATGGGACATGAATCTGAAATAATGTGATCCTTTCTAGCGCAATTGTGTAGCATGCAGGTTGGGCTAGCAAAACAGCAGATATTCAAGCTCTCAGCATTTTTGTTCAGAAGGTGAAGTTGCCTTCCATTGGACCACACATGCTTTTTGTTGGTGTCATGATGTAATACAGACATGAAACATTGTTTCTGTGTGTTTCCCAGACTGGAGAGACTAGAGGAGGAGTTTTACACCCTGGTGACTCCATCAGAGATCGCTGCAGCCCTGGAACAGCCGGAGGATGTGGTAGATGTGGTGTGCGAGTACTGGAAACTCAAGAGAAAGGTGAGATACAGACCATAACCTCTCAAACACTGATCATACATGTTTTCAGGGAGCAACTTGGAGAGGTGGTTATGAGATTTGGCACTGTGTTTTGTATCAAATTGATATTGATAAACATTCTGCCTTTGTCTTATAAATTATCACAGCTGAAGTCCATTTACCACTATGTCCATTGTACTTGCAATTTGTTCACATTTATAACATTGGGAACATTTTACCTGCAGGCAAACTTTAACCGCCCCCTGGTGATGCCCAAGACAGAAGAGGCCGACATGTTGAGTCAGGCTGAGGAGGACAGTCTGTACCGCAGACTCAAGATGTTCATGCACCTCAGGCAGGATCTGGAGAGGGTACGTACTACTACTCATACACTCTACCAGGCATTGGGAAGCACCTGGAAAGAGCAGAAATTGGCCAAATACTGTGAATCACAGTTTTTTTTGCGGTACTGTAACATTCGTGGTCTTCGCGGTCACTTCAGCATACTTATCATTATGGGGAACACGTAATTTGCTGACTTTCTTTTTGTTGCAACTGCCACAATCGTATACTTCTGCAAACATGTCCAGTTTTCTCAGACGGCGACAGACAGACAGCTTCAGTTCTGTGTTTGCATCTATGTCTGCAATATAGTGTTAATGCTACTAGACCATGACGGAACTGATACATGACTTTCGTTTTCTTTCCTGCTGTTTTCATCCCTTTATGAAAATCGAAACAATTTTCTGACATCCAGTTTCAGTACTGTATTTGCATCTGTGTCTGCAATATGGCAATGGAGTGTTAATGGTACGATGTGTTTCCTCTGTCCCTCCCAGGTACGGAACCTGTGCTACATGGTCGGCAAACGGGAGAAGTTAAAGAGGCAGCAGTGTCGGGTTGCTGAGGAGGTATTCTACAAGACTCTTAAAGTGGTAGAAGAAGAGTGGGAAGACTTGGACATCAGCACTCTCCCTCTCCGCGACCCTAAACCAGAAATCGAACCACATTCCACAGAAGACACCATGGAGGAGGAGGAAGAGGAAGAGGCATCAAATTCACAGGAAAGTCCCTCGCTGGATGAGCAGAAAGACTCAGAAAGCCCACGAAATGGGCTGAGCATTCAGATGGAGCTGTTACGAGGCAGTGGCGACAAGGGGAAGCACAAATACAGCTCCAAACACCGATCACGGGACCGGGCAAACGGACGCTTCCTCCCGCAGCACGAAGTGACGAAAAGGAAGCTCGACGAATACATTGCTTCGATAGACACAACTCCCAAGAAGAGCAGGAGTCCAAACCATTCCTCATCACCTACTAACGTCTCAGGGCACCAAGAAGGGAGAAGGACATCTCCCAACATTAAAGAAAAGTCACGGTCACCTCCAGTCAAATCTTCGAGATCCCCCTCAAGAAGGACATCTCCAAAATACAAGAACGACACGCGGTCGTCTCCGCAAAGTAGGGAGTCCTCTAGATTTTCCTCCTTGGCGAGAGAAGTGAAAAGATCGCCCAATGCTCTGGAGAGACGAACCTCTCCCAGAACTTCACCGAAAGTGAAAGAAAGTAGTAAGTCCCCCAAGTCGGACGCGCTGTCGCCGTCCCACCACAGGAGTTCCAGAAACGAGGACGGGAAGAGGTCGTACAAGGAATCGGCACCGAGAATAAGCCTAAGTAACCTCAGTGGGTACAGAATCCCCAAGAAAACTAGCCCTAATGCAGTAAATCAGTCCAAAATTGAGCAAAAGCCGGTGAAGTCGCCCTTGCAGTCGCAGTCCCCCCTGAAGGATCGGCAGGAGCGCCCGATGAGGTTCGGTGACCGAGGTCGGGACGGTTACCGCCGGCTCCCCCTCAGCACCTCTCCCACCCAGCTATCCAAGAAGAGGATGGACCACCACTTTAACCAAACGAGCGGCTCCCATCTCCAGTATGACAACGTTGACGGGGAGGTGAGTTTGCGTAGGAGCACCAGTCCAGCCGGTAGTAACGAATCGGGGCCCACGCCCCAGAAATACCCCACGGTCGTCATCGACTCAGACTCCGACAACGAAATTGACGTCGAGCATAATTCGGACTCGGAGTCAACGACAGGACTCTCCCACGCTAACCGCCTCTCCAGGTACGGTCAGAACCTGCCGCATCGGTCGCCCAATAGAAGCCTTCACAATTCTCCAGGGATGAGAAACTCGCCACAGGCAAGACTTCAGGGCTCTCCCCTAAGTCGAGGGTCTCCCAATGCTAGGTTAAACAATCCTCCCGTCGGCCTCTCCAAACCAAAAAGCATCAAGAATCGAATAACTGATGCCGTGTCTCGCTTCTGGAACTCTGGAAGCTAACGCTGGTGGTTTGTGTTATTAAAAGTTTTTAGGAAAGTGTAGCTTACTAAATTCCCCAATCAGAACAACTGTGTTTGGTTCAAGAAATTTAGCTGCTTATAGAAACATTATAACTCAGAAGATAGTGCCGGTATGATTGCTTGCTGATTTCTTGGGTTCTATGAAAGATGATAACTTTTAAAACAAGTTGCAGGGATGTTTATGGTACATGTATTACTGCAGATAAACATCTTTTTCAACAATGAAGCGTTACTTGATATGAAAAATTAATTCCTTTACTAGACTGACTTCTCAACTTTCTTTTCAATTTCTAAATTTTAGCATAAATGAATCTTTTCTCTTTAGCGTAAATTTCTTTTGCAAATAGAAAATGTGACCCCTACATATGTCAAAATCTCACCTTGATGTTGAGTATATTTATGTTACTGCCATGACTTGTACTTCATACCATTCTTCATTGTACCTGTCTTATGAAAGCTGCTTATGTATATGGTTTAAGTCATGGGATCAACTAGTATTAAAGATCATTTGACTATATTTATCTTTTAAAACCATATTGAAGCACCTGTTCTTTCCATTGTCAAGTCTCAAAACTTGTTTTTTGGAACTAGAAACATCTGTTTTCTATATAATGTGTTGTGGCATGGACCACAATATTACTACACTGTTGAAAAACAGCCTACTGCCATGACTTACAAATGATCAAAGTTTAATCTATCATTTCCACCCATATTATTGTGTTCATATTGTCTTCAGCCACCATGCTTAACATATATAAAAGAGCCCTGTTGTCATATTCAAAGCATTTACATGTATTCTAAAACTTCTATCATTCATAGCTGTTCAGAAATGTCAAAATTGTTGATATGCTACTAAATGTATGGAAAAAATAATGAATCATTAATTTCTTTTCATGATTTCCTAATGCATATTTTTGTAGCTGTGTTAAATATGTAAAAGATGTGTACAGTGTATAGTCCCAAGAGAGATGTAATGAATGGAAAAACATGGGACACTTGGTCATGACGTTGTATGTGTCACTCAGTGTTAATGTCAGATACAGGTTAGAGATGCAAATTTCTAGCAATAAACAATTGGTCACTATGGATACCTTGTGGTGTTGCTTGGTGTGTGTGATCCATATAGCTTTGCTAGCACATGCTGACTCCCATAAAGTTTTGTAATGTGGCAGAAAAATAAAACACCAATGCAGGCACTTTAAATGAACAAGGCAGTTGAAAGAGATGGCAGACTTCATCCCCTTCTTACGTAAGCTAGGTACTCATTTTCACCTGAGTGAAGTGACAAAAGCTGCATGAAGTGCCTCCTTTCCCAAGGGTACAATGTTGTCGTGTCGGGTTCAAACCCGGTACCTTGGTGTCTGGGCCAAACAGCCTAACCGTTACACCGCCCGATGCCACGTCTTTGTAGTACAGAAGTTGTGTTGCTAACCACTACAACTTACCACTACCAGTGTCAGCCACAAACGCAGCCCTACAGTGTCCCAATTTCTCCTGTTTTTATTTATAAAGATTATCAAAACTATGACATCAACAGAAAGCTGGTATGGTTTGATACTCAGTATCAAGCCTTCCTAAACAACAGGGAAGTCCTTTTCCCTCAAAACATGTGGAGAACTTGGTTATAACCAATGGTCCCAAGCTTCTAGTGTATACAGCATATAAACAGTACACTACACGTATGTTCACTCTTTACTATACAGTACAATAGGCTCTCTTAACTCCTACATAAATACCTAGATGTCATGTTAACAGGAAAATGGCGACTAACCCAAATGTCAGTCAACGGTCTTCAAAATAAAGGCAATGGCTTGTTCGCCCAAAAGCTTCCTAAAAGAATGCATAGTTGCTAATTCTGGGTTATGTTCCTATCAGTAAAAGTCCAAGATTGTTCCTGGCAATGAAAAAGCAAGCTGCTGTAAACTATAAAAAGAGACTTCCGGATAAACGTGCAGCCCTTCTACTTATGGGAGCAAACAAAAGCTACATGACATAGAAAGCAATAACTAAGGGAACTCTGAAGTTCCCTGTATTGCCCCAAACTTGTATATCGACTATGTCAACATTTGGTTGCAGAAAGAACAGGTATTCATTATCTACAGAAATACACAAAACCTTGTCCTGTGTACTTCATTACAAAAGTTACTTGTGGGATAGGTTACTTGAAATATGCAAATCACCCTGCTCATTTAGGGTCCATGAATATAATTTCTTGGTCTATGATTTCTCTGCAAATGAGACATTTATTAGATCCTTAACAACATCCATGTGGCATGGTTACTATTAGCATGCAAACAATATAGAGACAGAGGCTTCCATAGCAAGCGACTGAACTTTTCAAGTGAAGTTTTTTCGCTGAGATACATTATACATAACGACACATGTGGCTTGAATGGATTGAAAAGGGAATGTATTTTTACACTTGCTGTAACCAAACTTGTTCAGACACCACAGTATTCAGTGGTTCCACTCAACAGACACACAGCACTATCTCAAGAACTCACACACAGACAAACAGACATTGGCAGGATGCTTTCAACTTCAACTGCAGGCTTTGAAACATGCTTGTATAATTCTGAACTGATCTTCAACTGAACAAGACTTTTTCTACATATTTCTCCTTCTACAGGTATTCAAGAAATATGTTGTGGTTTATCAAAGTGTTTACTGACGATAATGTTTTTGAACAAAGGTTTTCACTTATTTTTACAGCTGGTACAGGTTCTCATGAAGAATTACTTCTGTGGTATTTTGTATGTTTTCCTAATTGAAAAATGTTAATGTCTTTGAAATGCTCTAACAAAAGCTTTTGTCTGTACAGCACTACTATGAACAGCCTGGAACTTATGTTGGATCTATACACCCTATGTACAAAATGGTGTAGAACTGCGAACATCTTCAAACATATACATGGAACTTTACATCTTACCAGTGTGTTAAATTCATCTCTTTTTAAAGTTTTTTTTAAACGAAAACTAGCATGGATAAACTGTTCATGCAATATCTGTTATAAACTGTAACTAAGAGCTTCTAGGTATCTAAACAAAACATCATAGCACTCTCCTGTATTAATCTAAGGGTTTTTGGTTTCTCACAGTCGCTCTACACTATCTAGACTCTAAGGACTAAAAATAAAAGAATAAGGGTTATATCTGGGACAAATGTTCTTCTGTATACAGGTATGGTCAACAACAGACAAACTGGAGTATTTTTCTGACAACAATTCAGAACCTTGATATAATACAGCTCCAAATATAGAATCACAACGTTGACCATTTCTAACTAATCACTTTCGAATGTGCCCTAACATAGGCAAACCTGAACTTTCAAACTGAAAGGCTATATCATAAAAGACTAACAAAATGTAACAACTTTCATACTCCTAACCAAGTGTTAATCTAACTTCAAAAGTCCGTAGAACAAAGTATATGGAGTAACAAACATAACATCTTCCGAGGTCACAACGTTATAACTTGAGGGGTTTTCTTCACTTCCGTCTGCACCATCTGTTTGGGAAGGGAACCGGTTTGGTCCGGTCTTGGTTGCTGTTCTTCGCTCTTGATTCCTACGCTCACTGCCGATACCTGACTGACCGAGCCGTTTCCAGTTTGCTCCTTATTTCTGCCGGCAAAGTCTGTTCCTGACCAAGTGTTGCTGCTGCTACTGTTGTGATGCACCTTCATGTCCGTTTTTGACGAGCCTAAAAGTCTGTGGTTCTCCGAGGCGTTCCCACGGAGATTGGCTTGTGTCTTGAGACCCTGAAGACCCTGTCTGGCTGGAATGGAAGCGCTGCCGACCGCGGCCTGCTGGAGGGACCCGTCCTGAGAACTCTCGTCTATTCTGGAGTTGGGGAGAGACTGGAGCGCCGGGGCGGCCGGCGTGGTCACGTCGTAACCCTCGTCTAACGGCTCGTCCTTCAAGGCAGCCGTGCTGGATATGGCTGGAGTATAGACAGGAATATACCTCAGATCAGGATGAAAATGAAACAGGAATGAAAGGGAGCACAACAAAGTGTAAATGCTATCTTCTGAAGAAATTTCCTGAAAGATTGTATCAAGTACTACCAATTTATAGTACAAAGCTTAAAGCAAGTAAAAAACTGTGTGGCAGTCTTAAAATTCAGATGTCTTTTACTTTTTAATTTTGTTAAAGATGGTTCATGGTCTAAGAAGAGTTTTGCTTGTTTGATAGTCTTTGTTTGAATCAGAATATGTTATACATGTACCAAGCATAACACTCATTATTCCTGTTGACAAATGATGATGAGCTCAGCAAGCTTAAGTAACACGAAATATACACTAATGTTTACCTTGTTGCATGGTGGCGTCTAAGTCGTCAAACCTGGGCTTCTCATCCTTCTCCTCTGCGTCAGGGTCCTTCACGGGCGGGATCGCCGCGGCGACTGCGTGGGCGGGAAGATTGACGTGCGGAGGAGCCTCGTCCTCCAGCGGGTGGTAGTAGTCCGACTGCGGCGCCGAGGAGTCCACCTTTAACGTCACCTTCTTGGACGTCTGCTTCTTCTCTGTAGGAAACATTTTGAAATAATATTTTTAAATGAATGCAGGGTTAATTTATTTGCTTCCTAGCAAGTTTTGCTGCATCATTAACCAGGGCTTAGACCTTTGTGGACAAATACTTATTGGTTTGGCTGTATTGTATACATCAAGGGCTACTCAACTTTTACCTGGAGTCCAGCCTTGTTAGCTTTGGTTCGCTACCCAGCCGATCTTGGGGAGCAGGCCAAAGCTAACAATGCTGGACTCCTGGCTAACCCAACCAGGGCTAGCCTCCCCTGTAGACAAGTGTTAGATACTGGCTGGTCACAATTAACCTGAATAACTGAAGAGTACAAACAAATCATCGCACAACATATCATCACTTACTCTTTCTGGTTCCAAAGGAGGTCTGCTTTTTGCTCTTTCTCTTCTTGGAGGTGTCTGTCTTGGTTGGTGGGGAAGCTGAAAATAAAAAAAGAAGAGCTGACTTTACTAAAAATTGGAAGTGTATTATGAAACATTAAGACTGCAAAAAATATAAAAAGTAGAGCAAATCTAGAAAGATTAAGGAAAATTTGGGATCTAACCCTCCTGTAAAATTTGAACCTTTTGGTTTTTCTTTTGGTTTTGTCTTTCCTTTAATGCCCGCGATGATAAAGTCATGTAAAGTGCCTTTCCCAACTGCACAAGATTGGTGACATGGCAGGATTCGAACCCGGGACCTCTAGGTTCTGAGCCGAATGTTCTGCCTTTACGCTGCACGACCCCCCACCCTTCCCCTTACCTTTAATAAGTGGAGGTTGTAGAGGGTATCCCATCATCTCACACCAGCCGACAGGATACAGGTCGGGCGCCTCACAGTCCACCCACTGGTCATACGTGTCCTCCCAGCCGTCAAAGTGCACCCGGAGCAGCCGGCCCACCACACGCACCACGGTCGCCACGCACACCAGGTGGGGCTCCATCAGGTCTACTGCCTCCACCTTCATACCTGCCTTGAAACCGTGGTTGGGGATTTCCTGAAAACGATAATAAAATGATAGTAAAACATAATGATCCCTCAGAGATTTCAGCATTCAGACTCAACTATTCAGTATTCTGCAGTCATTACTCTTATCTCATTGCTTGTATATGGTTGGGGATTTCCTGAGAAAGATAGGAGAAACATTCTGATTCCTTAGAGAGATTTCAGCCTTCACATTCAACAACTATTTAGTCTTCTCTGCAATCCTTACTCTTATTTCTTTGCTTCTACAGTCTTAACTTTCATACCTACCTAACAAATGTATCTGGTGTTTCCCTGACAAAAAAAAAACATGTTGCAAAGACAAATTGAGATAAAAACTGCTTCTGATATAACGGATCGCTGTAAAAAGCATGGTCCTGTGCAAATATCTTTGTACCTATCTCTTAAATGAAGGTACTTACATTGTTGAAAAGCTTGACTGGGGCAGCCTGAGACTTTGTCTTCTTCAGGTAGTCCAGCCATTTGAACGGAGCACTATAACCTGCAACGGAAAAAAACACAAAAATGCTATGTATGAGTTTTTATTTACTTTATATGGCATAGACATTTAAGTGATTTTTCACTCTCACTGCGCTTCACATCACATCACTTCAGGGTCACCAGAGGATGTCATCTACATGTAAAGACTACTTCCAGTGGTATTTGATGACAGCTTTAAACAGATAAAACCTTACTTCTTGGTGGCGTGAGTTCGATCTTGTTGAGGTCACAGAAGCCGACAGGGAAGATGTTTGCAGAAGTCTGGTGGTAACAGAACCAGTCGGAGCCGTCAGGAGTCTCCATCCCGTCTATCCCGATCATCAGGTAACCTTCTCTCAACACCTGGACATGGAACACATCAGGGGTTCATGAAATTCTTTCACATGTTGAGGATGCTTTAAGCTTCAGTTTGCTAAGCCATTTGACATCAGTTAGGTAGCTATTTGGCACCAAATTTGTATTGGTAACATTCTCTCAGTCTCAGCACCTGGACAATGGGAAACACATCAGGGGCTCAGAAATATTTTACAATGCCATTTTGAGGATACTTTTTAACCTTCAGTCTGCTAAGATAGATACTTGGCACCGAATTTGTATTGGTTATGGGGTTAGGCGGCAGGATGAAGGTTAAGTGTGAGGGCACAGCACCAATATTTTCCCTGCCAGAGATAGAAATCACCCCCTTACCATACAGCTTTGCGACTGCTCCAATCCAACAGACCGAAACAGGATCATTGAGGATGTAAGGCAACACTGCTTTGTGTATATTTTGAAAAAACACATAGAAACAATGAAAATCAATAATAATGTCTCTATTGTACCTTGCGTACTGTAGCCACACACACGGTTGACAGGTTGAGTGGATCGATGGCCTCCAGTTTCATCCCCACATGGAACTGTTGGTGGGACGAATCCACTGTCTTCTCCTGTAAAACAGGACATTTTGTTTCTCAATTGGCATTTCCTACATTCATGTTAGTACTACGTAAGCTAGAATAGGGATGCCAGAACCAAGACTAACATTTAACCATTGAAACATTAGTTGAACAGAACCTGAAGGAAACTAGTTTTGATTAAACAATAGTTGACATAATTAAGATATTCCCATAAATTTGCAGTGAGTAGTCTAGAAATGGTAGAGAGTTAGTAAGTTGCAGCAAACTCACCCGCACCTTTCGAAAAAGGTCTGGAGGACAGTCCATGGGGTCCAGCTTCTTGGAGATTGTCTTAGCATAGGATGCAGCCTTGTATTCTGCAAAAAAAACAACAAAAAAAACAATTGTGATTCAACCTTCCTGTCAGTCTGCGGTTACACCATTTTCCCCTCACTTCATGCCACTCTATTGTATTCAAATACTACAGACACACAAGCAAATGGACACAAAACAGACACACATGCAATGCAGCAAAAACAAGCACATCGGCAGAACATACTGTGCCTGTGCAAAACCACTATTTTTCTCAGTTTTTGTTGTTTTTTTGTCAATGTTGCATCAGAATTTTGCCTGTTGCACACAATATTTTTTCCAACATAACATTTGGAAACTTACATGCACAAATACAACCTTACCGGTATATGAAAAGGCCTGCCAAAGTGCTATGCACAATACATTATAGTTTTGTGCAGGTGCAGTACATTCTGCCGATGTGCTGCAAAAACAAAACCTCCACATACGGAGGTACATGTACTTACCTGCAGTAGCGGTGAGCTTGTGTCCGACCAGTTGAGACCAGCCGACGGGATGGATGAGTGGGGAGGCCATGTGGCACCAGAAGTCATCCTCCTCATCCTGACTGTCCCTGTACAGCAGGCGGATCCTCCCTCCCACCACCTCATCCACCACAGCCACACGCATGCTGCTGATGCTGCACTTATCTACCACCTCTAGCTGCATACCCGACCGGAACTTACACTCACGACTCTCTACAACCTGTGGGAACAAACAGGCAAACAGAACTTACACTCACGGTTCTCTACAACCTGACGGGGGAAATGGTCAATTGATTGATTGCTCGAAACTTCAAACACCCAGCTGGTCTATGGGAGGATGTTTGAGAAGAGAATCAGCAGAGGAAAGGGTGTAGGGTTGCTTCTTCAGAAGAATTTCTACACAAATGAAGTGTTTATCCCCTCTAGTGGACTTTTTGGACAAGCTTGGGGAAGAGGGTCAGCATGATTTCCCAGAGCCAGTACACTACTAACATTACAAGAACAAGAACTGGTTATATGAAGTTGAAAATCTGTATGACAATAAAAATTGACATAAATAATATTCAATATCAACATAATGATATTGGAGTTACACTTTGGGCTCTCAGCAACAAATGAAGCACAATACCCCAGTAGCCTACCTTGGTATAGAAGTCCCCAGGCAGAGTCTTGGCCCCTGTCAGCCGTTTGACCAGGAAGCCCTTCCAGTTGGTATACTTATGTTGGATGGCTGAGTGGGGTAAAGACATACAACAGTTTAGACTGATTTTCATCTTCCAACGACCCTCAAACTTATCACAATCCAGCAAGAATTGCTACTGAAATCAGGAAGGTTTTGGACTAAGAACAAAACTTGAAAATTCCATACAGATATGTGGAATTTTGCCTTACTTTTGGGTGGAACGAGCGGCTTGCCTATGGTGGCACACCAGCCGACAGGGTGGACTTCCATGGTGCACAGGTTACACCAGAAGTCCAGGCTTGAGTTCTCCTCAAAACCTTCATAACGCAGCTTGGCTCTGTAACCTGGGAAACATGGGTAAGTCATAACAGTGGTTATACTACATTTCGTGAACCCACTATGACAACTTAAGGGAAAGTGACATAGTCCAGTGAGGTCACTCAGAAACTAGAGTTCTGGAGAGTGGACAATAAAGGCTTAGTATTCCAGAAGATATGTGTGTCTGCCTCTGTGTTTCTGCACAAGAAGCTACTATCTGACACAAATGACTTTAGCAAAAAAAAAGCAGACTAAGAAAGACCTATATCTAATTGTTAGAACCTTGTTTGTACACAGGAGGACCTGGAAATGTTTAGCCCCAAAGCTAGACCCAGTGTGCTGTACTATACTGAACTACAATAACTGTAGAAACTTGAGGTTTACTTCCAAAATAGCAGCGAGAAGCAGAACTCCAGTCAGAAGCTCTGAGGAAGGTGTCTGATAGACACCAAAACATCAGCACTTTAGGTGAGAAAAAATGGTTGTGTAAAAGAAAATTCCTGTATCCTTGAGGTTGACTGTTGTGTAGGGATTCTCACCTGCTATCTTGATAACCTGAGCGATCCAGAAGACTTTGCTGGGAAGGTCACAGTCTGTGTTGAGCACCTCCACCTTCATTCCCACTGCAACGTCCGACCAGTGGCCTGACATGGGAGCCTGGGAACAACACAGTCATGTCAGTGATGTGAGTGCACTTTACCTCTGTTTTTCCTATAATAATAATAATGGTTTATTCAGTTCTTTGTAGCGCATGTACAAACTCGCAGTGCCCTGAATTTATCTCAGCATTCTTGCAATTACTGCACAGATCATACTGGGTGGTATAGGAACTTAACACTTTGGATTGGGAAAATTTAACCAACAATACAGATGAAGCCAAACATATTTACAACTTAATGTTACAGAGGTACATGTATCATAACTATCAATATGGCAGAAATAACAACCCAATGTCTTTATAGTTGATATCTCAAACGTTACTGCACATTCAGCAAAAAATAACTACATGTAATAAGTAGATTTATGTTCATATTTAATGCTGAAAATATAAACTGTAACCTACATGTTTGAATGATGTGACAGGAGCAGACTCCTTCCTTTCTGTATCAACATGAACTCCCCAGTCAAATGGGCCCAGCTCTGGAGGAAGAAAAATCATACAAGTTACAACAAAGTTAATGTGTGCTTGAGTTTAGGAACGTAAAAAACACACAGCAAAATATAAGGTAAGAGCTTACATAAACTGTACCAATGTGTGCTTCAAGCTTTGTTCAGAAGTCTAAGCACAGGCGCTAGGCTACCGAGTTTTTGTTGAAAACTATGTTGTTTTGTAAACCATTAAAAACTATTTTACAACTCGATTGTTTTGATTATGTTATAACATACACTATGTAATGCGTTACTCACTCAGTCCGTTGCAATCACAATACACAAGGAATGGACATAATCCGTTGAAAGATTCCCGAGAATCATACACTCAACACACACTGTGAACTCGGTCTACAACCTGACAAGGATTCCAAAGAACCATACGAACATATACCGAAGATTGCCGAGAGCCCAACGGCGACTTCCGAACGCTTTAGCTTGGTTAGGTACTAAGTACTAGTATACACTAGGTGCGAAATGCCATTTCAAAAGACCCTATTTTCTGCAAAATGCCACAAGGAAAATAAAAGTCTTGATACTATCTATACTTTAGGGGTAACTATGTAGCCATGTAAACTTTCTTGGGTTACTATACCATATCTTAAAGAAGATATTAAGCATTTTGTAAAGTCCGATTTCCGACGAACTGCGTTACCAGCAGTAAGACAATGACATTACCGCTAGCCAATCAGACGCACGGTAGGCACCCACATTTCCCGCGCGGTTCTAAAATGGAGACGCCCAGTAAGGCTACATCATACGACATGCTATGTGTCATGCGACATGCTAATGTACTGCCAGGCTGCTCTAAACACGTCCACAAACCCCACCGACATGTTTTCAGTTCTACATATGTCTCCCAGGCACGAGATTTGGAAAGTGTAGTTGCGCCCAATATCTCTAGATGTACGATATCGTTGTCCGAGAGTGAGTCTGGGGAGGCAGGGACTTCACACCGGACGTGATTCTAAGTCACATTTTTGCTGCCACCCCAGTTGGTAACGCAGTTCACGGGTAGGTGTTTCCTACCCTGTCATCTTTTTGAAGTTATCATCGCTAGCGCTAGCCCCGGCTTGGGGTTCTATCGAGTCGAGCAGCGGTTTTGCGAACGCGTTCGAATAACTGCGAAACCAGTTCTACTCCCGTCGGCCTTTGCGCCATCTATCTCTATCAGAACGCCCATTCGGAAGTAACAGCTAAGTAATGAGAGTACTTTTTAGTGTGATTCAGCCGACCAAGTACCCAGTATGTGTTATATATGTATGAGTGTGGAGAATTCTCGGGAATCTTTCAACGGACTGTGTCCACGGTGTGTTGTGTTGAGTGTATGATTCTCGGGAATCTTTCAACGGACTGTGTCCACGGTGTGTTGTGTTGAGTGTATGATTCTCGGGGAATCTTTCAACGGACTGTGTCCACGGTGTGTTGTGTTGAGTGTATGATTCTCGGGAATCTTTCTAACTCAACCATTGACGGAAGTGTTGAGTGTATGATTCTCGGGAATCTTTCAACGGACCGACCTCACGGTGTTATGAGTGTTCAGGGTATGATTCTCGGGAATCTTGTACGGAGTGCACAGTGAATTTGTGGTTCAGTTACCTATAAAGTACATGTATATATTTGAATAAAGTAACAACGATCTCAACAAAAACTCGGTGGCCTATCGCCCATGGTCTAAGCAGTTTCAGTATTCATATGACAAGTAAGTAGTAAAAGAACACTCACTGTTCTTGGAGCCGTTGACTGTGCTGGGAATGGGGGGTGGAGGGACACTCTTTTTCTCTGACTTGACCTGTGGGGGTATCCTGGGATTAAAACTGGACAATGGCAAAACTTTGCAACACTACAATTCAGTTTTTAATACGCATTTCTATTTACTATTTACTTATCAGCTTGCATATTTTCTTCAGCACATTTATGATACACGAAAGGCTATTCCAGAAAGGACAACTTACCCCCAAAGAGTCTTTCTTCACTTTTGGCACAGCAGGTTTGGAGGAGTGAGCGTTCCGTGAACAGGCTACGCTGCAGTAACGTTTCTCCTTCCCGTAGAACGCGTGGCGGACGCCCTCCTTACCACAGCGGTCACACCGTACTGTAGAGGGAATCACAGCTGCATTAACGTCTAACCCTACAGAAGGAAACAAAAAAAGGGAAAAAGTTATAAATGGTGCATTGTGATCATCAGGTGCAAAATAATGAAATGAATGAAAGTAACAACAAACACTCTTGCCTCTACAAGTACAACTGTAGTACCAGATACATACAGAAAGAAAAAAATTGACTGCAAATGAAAACTTGTGGCTGCAGACTTATGGCTGAAACTTAAAGAAAAAAAAAGGGTCATTGTAACATTGGCCCCATTCCCACTAGGATAAAACTGTCTGGATCGAGCCAAATTGATTCGCTTTGATCCGGCTTCAATCCTGCTTTGACTCAATCCGGACAACTTTAACATAGTGGAAATGGAGCCAAAGTAGATCCTTGTACACACCTAGCCCGGTATCACTGCCGTAGTCCATGTCCCTGGAGTCATCCTCGTCTTCCCCATCACTTTCGCTGGGACTGCTGGAGCCCTCCCCCAGACTGTCGTACGCGTCCATCATGGCGTAACTGTCGTTGGAGTTCCCCATCCCATCATCATCATCATCCTCCAGCTTCATCTAGGTATATATGAATAACAGGCAGAGATGTAATGACTTATGTTGTTAAAGATATAAGACACATGTCCCATAATGTATGGTACAGTAGTGCTTTTTAACCAAGAGCTATAAATAGTATTATCATGTCGGCTGTCTGATGGAGATGCTTTATAATTTATTTCAACAGTGCAACAGGTGTGGAATGTGGCAATGTATTTACTAGTATTTGTTGGTTCAGCTGCAGCATACTTAATGTATAGCACAGCTTGGCTGAAGTTGTTAGCCGAGTTGTTAGCCAAGGTCCCTCTCTTTCTGTTGCCTTTTTTTACTAGTAATCAATCCATCCACACATTGACCTTATCCTGGCCAGAGTCATGGGCCAGTTATCAGGCTAACTTCTACATGGCCCTGAAACTGTCGAAGTCAATAAACATACCTATCACAAAATAGTCATGTACTGAAAAAAAGGTGACATTCCGATTGGTAAATACCTTTACAATGAAGGTGAAATAAAAATCATCACTTTCACATTTTCTAATGATACTACAATTTAAGTTTCGGAGACCATAACACATGTTATTTTCAAGTAACTGTATGTCATCGCTTTTTTTTTCATTTGATAGAGAGACACGTTTTTTCTATCTTTTACTTCATGTAGCTCTAACAAAATATAACCGTTTAACTTAAAGATACGCAATATATGTAAGTAAAACACAACATCCAAACAATTTAGATTTTGTGTAACTTTGCGGATACAATATGCAATGACAAAATATATTGCTGCTCATGGTCTTATTATGCTAATCACCTTGATGACTTCCAAATAAACATTGCTCTCAACATCTTTAATCTAATTTAGTCAGTGTAACTGTTCAGAAGAATACTAAAATAACTCTGCATCCTTCAAATTTTGGGTTGAATATTGTTGTTGCTGTGCACTAATTGACATAAGTCGACCTTGTTCCTCTAACTAGGCCAGACCCACGCTTGGATTAAAATTCAGACAGCAAAATTCAACACCACAAACTCCCAAGGACACAGCAGGTGATTCATTGCGAATTTCTCAAGGCCTTCTCATCTGCATAACAAAATATTTTCACACCACAAATCATAGTCTTGTGCCATAGCCTCGGGATATCGTGTAGCTCTAGTAAGTGGTTAAATCTCTATCTGAAAATCGTGCCAAGAAGAAACGAGTCTGCATGGAAACCTGGCAAAAATATAGCTGTTTGCAGCTGTAAATAAATTTCTGGGGGTGTGGGGGGGTTGTGGCGAGACATTCTCCAAGTATAACACTCAAACGACAATTTTGAACTATTTCTGTTCGTCTACGAAGTATAACACATCATTGCTGTAAATTATGATTATTTCAACCACAAATTTTCGCACTTCGTGGGCAGTTTTCAAAAGAATTGGCCGCCAAACAGCGGATAAAAAGTTGCAACTTTGGCCGGCCGCGACCTCAGCTGCATGTTTTGACTGAGAGGGCGGGAAACATTACGTCGATTTTCTTCGCAGAAAAACATTCAAACTGCCATTTTGTGAGGAACGAACAGAGAAGAGAAAAGTCTTACTCACATGGGGGAAAGAACCATCCATTTTAGCCTAATTCTCCCTCCTCCTGTACAGTTATTTGTGGGAAATTCTATCACAACTTGGCTGAATTTTCTCCATTGCCGACAGTGGCTATCAACATAATTTGCATAAAGCCTCTGCACACGCGCACTGTTTGTTTCGTGCTTTCTTTGGAGATCTTTGATTGGTTGATTTTGGAATGTTTACAAAAATGTAATTTCAGCAGCCAATCAAAACTCTGCTTAGTCCGGGGGTTGGGTTTCCGGCAAGTCTCGCGACTTCTCGTAGAATCTCGCTAGTGGCCAAGATGGCGGCGCCCTGGAGAATGGAAATTTGTATTTTGATCAAAACATGAGAAAAACAGGTGAGTTTTTGTTGTTTTCTTTACAGCTGGTCGCGTCGATTAAAGACATGATATGAGCGGAACCACATACAAACTTGTAGCGAGAATTGTTAACGATAAAGTGCTTAATTTGGGTAAAATAAGTGTCAAAGCTCCATAGATAAGTCTTGTGATCTTCATGGGATTTGCTTAATAATGTATGAATATATATTATCATATAGCCGGACGGCGTGGACCAATCAGAGGCCCGGATACCCGTGCTGTTATTTCCCGATAACAGCACATGTGGTGTTATGGCGGAATAACAGCACATGTCGTGTTATGGCTGATACCATTATGTTATAGGGTATAGGGGCATGCGACTCTTTCTGTAAACCTTTGTAGCATTTTTCTGTCCAATAAACTTTTTTGTTTAGCTTCATTTAAACTACAATTTGCATTAAATGAAATTATCCATATTTGTTTTAAAGCGTATAATATATTCGAATGTATTTTTATGTATGTATATATATTAAAGCTGTTGTATTTCAAACAGGAATTGTGTTGATTGACAGTTTGGATAGGCTATATGATAATAATTTTAATGCACTGCCTTTTCCTCGTTGTATATGGTGTCATAACTGCATGGGCAGCTGCCATAACCACCTCATAAACCACCTCGTTCGCTTCGCTCACACGGTGGTTTATTCGGTGGTTATGGCAGCTGCTCATGCAGTTATGACACCATATACAACTCGGGGCAGTGCATTAACCCTTTATTATCATATAGCCGGACGGCGTGGACCAATCAGAGGCCCGGATACCCGTGCTGTTATTTCCCGATAACAGCACATGTGGTGTTATGGCGGAATAACAGCACATGTCGTGTTATGGCTGATACCATTATGTTATAGGGTATAGGGGCATGCGACTCTTTCTGTAAACCTTTGTAGCATTTTTCTGTCCAATAAACTTTTTTGTTTAGCTTCATTTAAACTACAATTTGCATTAAATGAAATTATCCATATTTGTTTTAAAGCGTATAATATATTCGAATGTATTTTTATGTATGTATATATATTAAAGCTGTTGTATTTCAAACAGGAATTGTGTTGATTGACAGTTTGGATAGGCTATATGATAATAATTTTAATGCACTGCCTTTTCCTCGTTGTATATGGTGTCATAACTGCATGGGCAGCTGCCATAACCACCTCATAAACCACCTCGTTCGCTTCGCTCACACGGTGGTTTATTCGGTGGTTATGGCAGCTGCTCATGCAGTTATGACACCATATACAACTCGGGGCAGTGCATTAACCCTTTAGTATATACTATGATATATATATGATGTTATGGATTATGTTGTTCTGATAGGCTGTCTTGAAGAAAGAAATGACCGACAACTAAGAAATTCTGTACGTACTGGCAATATTGTTAAAGCTATTCTACTTCATTAGTTCATAGATATTTTGGAAAAGACAAGTTAAATATCAGATAGAAAAATAAATAATAAGTAGTACATTGTATTTGCACTGACAGGCAGTTTACTAAGAAGAGGTCAAGCACTTTATAAAATAGCTAGTGCAATGTGGCTTTACTATGCAGAGTTTCAAAGGAGCTATCAATTGTTTTACTGACAGTCTTTTTTTTCACGCTTTTTTAATTTTAGAGCACAGAGTAGACTGAGGCCAGCAGTGAGCAGTGTGAGGCATGGCAATGAGAATGCTGCGGTTGTTGAGAGGAGTGGCGTACCTCCGTCAGGAGGTCCTGTCACAGGCCACATGTGCTCACAGACACTGTCACACAGGTGGGTAGAATAGACTAGAAAAGTACACGTAGAGTCATGTGGCTTAATGATCATTGTTAGGGTGTTTGGTCCAGGACCCAGAGGTACCAGGTTCCAATGCCCTGACAAGCTAATCTCCAAGCAGATCATACGGTGACAAGGCAGTATCCATTGGCCATAAGAGTGTGGTGGCTAATGGACACTCCTCTGGCCAATTGATACTGCCTTGCCACCGTATGATCTGCTTGGAGATTATGACGAGCCCCAACTGAAATGTGTGTTTGCCTTGTCACTCACTATGACAGACCTACTCTGTTTTTAACTACAGTGGTATAACAACTTTGGGAAGGCAATCAGATTCATATTTTGTGTGTTTTGGTCTGTGTATTTGGGATGTGTATTCCTCTGTCTGTCTTGTAAATCACTGTGATTTTTCCAAGAAACAAACAAACAAATTTACTTTTTGATAAGACCCTATTGTGACTCATGTTTGCTTATGTCTGATGTGTTGTCTCCCAACAGGTGTCTGCAGAAGTTACTGTTTCTGCCAACCAGTGCTAGTATCTGGGCTGACCTGTTTTACCAAGTATGTTTACATCACCTGTATTATTTTTTACATAAGCCTTGATAAGGCCATGTTGTTTTATTACTAAGTACTAGTATATGGATGACATCCTCTGGGAACCCCAAAACTGATTGAACAGGTCAACACCTTTACGTAATTGATTCTGGGTTGACAAGGCTGAACCTTGCAGTTCTTGTTTCTTGAAATAAAGTTTTTTCAGTTCCTGAAAGGACATCACGATTGAGCACTCTGTGACATCATTTCCCCTTTTCAGCAACAAAGTTTTGCAGACCCCAGGACAAGGCCCTCCCCAGCACTACACAGTCCGTCACCTGTGTTCTGGCAGTGGGAAGGCTGAAACACCTAAGGAGGCAGGCAAAACTGCTGTGGCTGAAGGGGACAGTAAGAAAGGTAATGATAAACTAGCAATGGACGTTCTTCACTGCTTAGCCATATAAGGCTTACTGTTTCACCTTGTTTGAGTTGCATGTAGTTAGTCAGTGCAATGTAGTCATGCCCTTAACTTGTACAATGCATTACTAGTATATGTCTTCATGTTTGTTCATCTGATACTACTAGTAACTCTTATTTCATCATCCTACAGCAACATCCAGTAAAGACAAGTTAGTCAAGACCATTTACAGAGGTGAGTGATCAAAAATTCTGCCCAATACAGAACTTCAATGAGGTTGACTGCATTGACCTTGATTTTGTAGTCAAAGGATCAAATCTTGCCATTACATGAAGTTGTTCAAAAGCTGAATATATTTTTTGCTTTACAGCCTCCTTACCTTTCCTTACCCAACATGTTTCTATGTTTTGCAGTAAAGCCCAAGCCTAGGAAAAGAATAGACTACAGCAAAGCGTACACAGATAACAACACCATCACTGCAGTACGCGCCATGAGTGAGTTTCTCCTCAAACCAAGGTTTGTTACTCTACTGCACATTCAGTATACATTGCCTGAAGAAATTATCATACCTTAGAAAGCAAGGAATTTCTGATCCATTTATCAAATCTCAGAAAGAGCCATTGTTATGTACATGTAGATAGTTGATAAATTGTTTGATTGATTGATTGTTTGTTTATGTGATTATTTGTCCTTACAGTGATCTGGAAGGCCTGAGGAAAACAGCACGTCGCAGTCCGTACTCAGACCCCAACTCTCCCCCGCTCATGGTGTACCTACGAGCTGATGTGGAACAAAAGTTTGTCAATATTTACAACTTAGATATGATATCATAAGTCTCCGGACACTAGTGGTGCTTCCTTGATGTTGTGTATTTCTATAGAACATGAATATGAAAAAAAATATCCTAACTTGTTGAGCCTAACTTTTTCTCGTACTAGTATTATATATGTTACAGTGAGGTACATGCACTAACAAATGCAGATGAGCTTCTATGCAAGTGTATCTGTAGTAAACTTATGTCTAATTTTCATTCTACAGAATGTAATGTGTGAATGTCTGCTTCTTCTCCAGAGCTATTGAGGTTTGGGGGAGCACGGCAGCTCTGCAGAGAGAGATGCAGAAAAGAGAAAAGAATGCAGATGCACAGAAACAGTGTAAGTCACAAGTACAGATAGTCTCTGCTACACACACCATGAAAAAAACAAGTGCAGTGTAATGGCACACATATTCAGAACCTAACCAGGACACAGATGGTCATAAATGTTTTGACAATATTTTCTCTTACCTGTTCCCCTCCTTATAGACACATTCAGATATAAGAAGGCACTAAAGGAGTACAGGAAGTTCTTTGGAGAAGGCGGGGTGGAACCTCCGTTCATCTTCGGCTCAGGCAAGCCTCAGGACAGGTCTTACCTGGAGGTGATGTTCTGTTTTATTAGCATGAAAGCTCATCTGTGGTGGTACAGTTGCACTGTACATTCTATGATAATATTATAGTTAATACTTTGTTCAACACAACCAAACTGTTACTACGAATTTTCAGTCATACATAGTCAAACTCTGTTGTTATATATCAAGATGTATCAAATGTAGTATGCAGTACTCTCATAATATATAACCTCTGTTAGAACCACAATAGTTTTCCATAGAAATTTGAAACAGGAGAAGTCCTCTTTCTTGTCCTCTTCTTTCCAGGAGCCTGTTCACAGCTTGTTCAGTGGGTCAGGACATGTGGTTATGATGGCCATTGGCATGTGAGTACATTACTGTCCAACCTGTACTACCAGTAGTGACATTTACCTCAAAGCAAGAGAGAACCACCTGGCCATTGTGACAACTTTTTGGTCGTCTTTTAGGTTATTTTTTCATAGACACATGCTTTAAGAATCTTGTCTATAGCAGCTACCTGTCTACTGTGACCAGTTTTTTCAAATCCCTTTAGCAATCACTACGGACAAGTTTGACTTCTGTAAAGTTCTCTTCAGAAAAGAAAACAGCCTTAGTTGTTTAGTTAGCACATTAAGACGAGTAAAACAGACTACGTACTTACATAATGTATATAACCTCTTAACATTTCTTCCCAGAAATACTCTGAATTTTGCCTTCAAACTGGTTGCCTGGGTCTTTACTGGGTCTGCCAGCATGTTCTCCGAGGCGATCCACTCACTAGCTGACACCATCAACCAGGTAGGGATGGATTCTGTCTGTAGTTTCATGGATAATTTTTTCATAGTTTTCACTCTTCAACTAATACTGACATTTTTTCTCCACCCACAGTCTATTTTGGCTTTTGGCATCCATCAGAGCATCAGGAAACCCAACCCAGACCATCCGTAAGTACTGTAAGTTGCACTGGTATGACAACAACAACAGATCCTAGCCTGGACTTTTGTGGTGTGAACTTTTGGTAGCAGTTGCAGTTGGGTTTGACACTAAGCCACTTGATGTTGAGGACTTACGAGCCCACCAATGTGTGATGGTCAAAATTTGTCACTGCTGAATTCACAAACAAAATGTACAAATTACTACAATGTAATTGTGATTAGCCACTTGACTGCTTGTATGTTGAACACAACTGACATGTTAAGACTGCTTTGTTGTTGGATGAAGATTGATTGATCAATTCAATCAAATGGATTACATTTAAATGGCCGTTTTGTGTGTAGGTACGGTTTCTCCAACATGCGTTACGTGTCGTCGCTGGTGTCTGGTGTCGGGATCTTCTGTGTGGGAGCTGGACTCTCCATCTACCACGGAGTTCTGGGACTGATCGACCCACAGCCCATGGAGTCATTCTTTTGGGTCTGTACCAACATGTCTTCTCATTGCCAGAGAGAGTCCTTGTGACATTTTCAATCTGAATGAATGCCGCTATTGTCCTGGTAGGGATGAGGTAATATTAATGTTAGTAATTCTGATGCTCTTTATTCCTAACTGTAGGCTTACTGCATTCTGACTGGATCACTTGTATCAGAAGGAGGTATGCCACTTCTTTTTTTTTATCTTATCAAAAGAAGTACTAAAGAAATAAAGTATGAGATATTTCTTTGTTAGCTACTACAGTAGTCAAGAGCCTCATTTGTTGACCCTAGTCTTTTTTTGTTTGATTGCCAAAGTTGTACAGATTTCTACTAGTATCTTATGTCAGGATTGTGTTCTACAACAAACCTTTGTGTTTTGTCTTTGTTGACAGCCACTTTACTTGTCGCCACTGCTCAAATACGGAAGAGTGCCCAAGCACAGGGAATGCAGTTCATGGAATATGGTAAGGTTAAGAACCATTCGTTGTCCCATTTCAAGTTCTTAATCAACCAAGGATTTAGGCATTCAAAACTCATATTTTCCTAGAAATACCAGTATCATTAGATTGAGACTTACTGCCACCAAGTACAGTTGGGATATCATCACTAGATAGCTATAAACAATGCCTGCAGTTAGATGTTGTTTGGTGTAATGTAACCAGCTGCTACCACCCTGCGTGCCTACAAAGCTGGCATGCTACGCCGAAGGGCAGTTATACTGCCTATATATACACATAATCAATTGCACAAAAACAAGGAGTTGTAAATTTTTCTAGTTGCTTCTTTTCTTTTACTTGGTTTTGAGATATTCCCTTGTCTCCTTCTGCAGTGTGGCGCAGTCGTGACCCGAGTGTGAATGTTGTGCTGTTGGAGGATGCTGCAGCTGTGTTGGGTGTGGCCATCGCAGCCACGTGTATGGGCCTCACCTCACTAACAGGTAATACACTACAAAATATTCACTGCTTTGGCCTTACCAATTTGATTTCTTGGTTATCAAATTTGAAAAAAAAAGTGTATGGAGATTTTTATGGTAACTTCAAAAATTACCTGCACCAGTAAAATTTTGCCTGCACCACTCAGACTTTTAGTATGAATCATATATATACTAAAAACTGATCAGAAACCATTTGCATTACATGAATTTCTATTATAGTTCTTAGGTGGTAAAAGTCAATGCGACAAATAAGAATCAACATACTCCTAGATATACAGTGTATCTATAGAAATAGTAGATGGACCAGTGCAGGTTAGGTGCAAATAGACCTCAGAAATACCTGCACAGCTCCAATTTTACCTGCATAATTGGAGGTATGCAGAAAAATCATTGGTGACAAGTGTTGCCTCCCCCCAGGTAACCCTGTGTATGATGCCATGGGGTCCATCACCATCGGGGGCCTGCTGGCCATGGTGTCAGCTTTCCTCATCTACACCAACGCTGAGGCTCTGATTGGTCGATCCATCCCACCTGACCAGCTGGACAGGATCATGCACAGTCTGGAGGATGATGTCATGGTCAGGTGGGGCACAGAGTCTTCAATCTACTAAAACCTTTTCATTTGCAGAACAACTTGTTGCTGGATGTTTGTATCACACTTCCTTTATATGAAATATAAAATAAATCTGTACTTTCAGAGCCATCCACGACATCAAGGCTACAGAGATGGGGCTGAACATTGTCAGGTTTAAGGCTGAGGTGGATTTTGATGGACGGGAGGTGACCCGGTCTTACCTGGACAAAGTGGACCTGGAGGCCTTATTGCAGGTGAGGAAACAACAGTGCAGATTGGAGGGAATTTTTTTTACATTCTGTGGGCCTGAAATTATACTGTCCGTCTGCCTCCTTCTTCAGGGCAACAATGACCGGTTCTGATTCGTACTGCAGCTGTGGTAGGTGTTGCTGCTGCAATGTGACAGCACTCTACATTTGGGACCACAATATTGCAGCAGTGACACCTAGCTGCAGGACAAATCAGTACAAGTCATTGCCCTGAAGAAGGTGACAAACCATCATCAAAATGTTGGATGTAAAAACCGACTGGTTGTTGAATAAAAAACCTTCTTATGCAGGCTCTTGCCAACATGACGAAATTATTAATGGGTCTCATGTTGTTTGTTATATAGGAGGTGCAACAGTACCAGACCATAGAAGACATGGAAGGCTTCATGTTAAGACATGGGGAGAACATCATAGACATCTTAGGGGCAGAGGTGGACAGACTAGAGACACAACTAAAGGTAACAGATCACACAGGTTTCATACAGCTAGATCCTCTACTTAAGAATAGAGCTTATAGTCCAGTACAATGATTATTATATTCAGGTGACCCCAGTTTCCCTTATTGCTTTTTAGAAAAGGCTACTACAAAACTCAAAAGCATGAAAATAGACTCTGAAGGGAAAGTCCTGTACTTCAGTACATGCAGTTGTCGGGAGTGGATATAGTCAGATTGAAAGTTAAAAGTTTTCCAACTTCCATTTTTTTATCTTGCTCTCTTTCCAAACTCTAAAACATCGTAGAACCAAGAAAATAGATTGATGTCACCGTACTTGATATTTTAACTCTATATACACATACATGCAGTCATTGCTACGTGCAAAGGTATTTTACACTATCAGTAACAGTACATTCTCTTGTCTTTCAGAAAAAGAATCCAGAAGTGAAACATGTGGACTTGGAGATCTTGTGAGGATACCAAAAACAACAAATAGATCTGTGTAGTAGGATTATCTTTTTTTTTTCAGCCAAGAAGAGGTGGCTTACATGAGATTATTGCCTTTCCCTAAGTTTTATTTCCTGAACAAATTGTACATATTTGTAACAACTAAAATGTCCTGTATGTATGGTTGGACTTGTCCAATGTTTCCTTTTTACTGTGTTACATTACTTCAAAGTGACAAGTGTGATATGTACTAAGTACTTATTGAATGTTAGACCTATGAGAAGTTGGCTATGCTGTTACCTGTTCACCAGAACCAGTGATGTCATATGATGTGTACGTGAACTGATGACATGTACTGTACATACGTTGTGTATAACAGGCTGATAGGAGACTGGTGTCTACAGGCTACAGCTTACATAGAAGATAGAACCACAGTGAGCTAGAACTAATCCTTTCAATATTCCATTTCCTTCTCATGAGCTCAGTTAGCAACAATAAGCAGTCAAGAACCTCCATTTCTTTATTGAGCAACAACAACATCAACCAATGTGTTATTTTTACATCCAATGATTTGGTGACCGTCTGTAATCGTCAGATTCATATCACAGCTAGGTGTCATCATCGTTGTTGTCCAGAATTCAAAGAAGGTGACAGACGGTCACCGAAATAGCGGCTTTGAAAACCATGGGTTGTTGAATAAAGAACCTTCTTATTGAGGGGTCAAGAAGTTAATGTTTATGCTGAAAACATGAAAAATGTCATAAACATAAGTTATGTAATGCATTTTAGTCGTGTCTTGATTTTATTGAAAATCCTGACCAAGATAGGATTTTGCAACCCCAGTTTTTGTTGAATGGTGGTACACTTGTCACACCGTGGGCTCAGTTTGCTATACCCTAGTGGGTGCTTCCGGGTTACATGTAGCTTTCTATCACGGCGTCCTCAACAGTACACTCCGTTAGGGTTTAAATTGAAATACTCAAAGTAGGACTAGCTTTAACTCACGGCCTCACTGTTCTGATCAAAGGCGACCTCTGTTAATTGTTGTCAGTACTGCAGACCACAGTCCACGCGAACCACCAGAAAGACGGACAAAACGCAGGATAAAGACGACTAAAAATAGAAGCGGAAGCCATACATCTGCCTGCATGAAAGCCATGCATCTGTCGCGAACTAAAGCCATGTAACTAAAACTAGGATATCGACCGTAATACGCAGGCCGATCGCGTTGAGTGGTTTTCAGTCAGTCAACAAAGGATCGGGACAGCACAGGCAATCAAGTTTTAATCGGGAGTAGTGTTACAGTGCAGAGCTAATTTTGTCCACTTATAGAGTGACCTACATACCAACAGGGTCATACCCTGTACTGAAGGGTTTGCCTTGTAGCAATCAAAATAGACATGGTGGTGGTGAACTGAGGATCATAATGTGATGGTTGCTGAATTACACATTCGCGTGAAACAATAATTGTCGGCCATTTAAAAAAGATGTATACTTTTTTTCAAAAGAAAAATGACTGAAATCCAAAAGGAATTCGAAGGATGACAAAGGCTCTGTACACATGAGGAAAATTTAAAAACATTGAATATTTAAACTGGAAGGATTCAACGATCCATTTCATATTAAGGAATGAACACCAAGAACGTAAAGGAAGAAAGCCCCTGTGTGGCTTTAATCCTACATGGTCGCGCATCAAGAGGCCGTATCGCACAAGTGGCTGTTGTTGTTGTTGTTGTAACAGGTTGTTAGCCTTGTTGATTTGATCAAGGAGCTCGAGGTTTTGAGTTCCTTGTTTTGGTGTAAGGCCATGTTGATTTGATTATATGGATGACATCCGCGCGCGCATGAATTTTCGGCCGTTTCCAAAAAAAAAAAAAGTTTTCAACCATACTGTAACTCGTACAAAACAGTTGCAAAATGAGCAAAAATATACCATATTTACAAAAAAAAATTAACAAAAACTATACCAATGTCGTAGAATGCCAAAATCAAACGAAAAAAGACGAAATTGTAAAGAAATGAACTTGAAGACTAGATTATTCGCCAAACCATATTCTGTGCCATTTGCTCAACGCTCATGACCACGTAAATTTCATAATGAAAAAGAACTTTTTTTTTTTGCAAAACTTTTTTTTTATTCGCACGCGCGCATCAGTTTTGGGGCTCCCGGAGGATGTCATCCATATAATCAAATCAACATGGCCTAACGCGAATAGTCTTGCCGTCGCAGCCATGGATCACATATTAACGTACCGCTTTCTTGGAGCCTTGTGTCTCATTTCTTTCGTTTTGACAGGTACGTACTTTGACGTTGTAAAGTGTCCGAAGTAAGTATATAGGGCCGTATATACAATGTAGGGCCGCAATTGAGGAGGACTGTGACTATATCCGGGTTGTGAGTTGTGGGGTGTGGTTGTATTGTTGTCGGTAGCCTGGTCGGTAGGTAGGATGTATAGAAGTCTACACTTGTACCTGTCGAATTAATGCAAATTCTACAAAATTGTTAGGCATGTTTTAGAACAATGACAATGAACTTTATTGTATATTATTCACGCCCTACATATACATGGGCCAAATGCACTATGTTAGATTACTGAGGTATAAGGGTAGGAGGAACAATTAGCATTACTATGCTACATCTATATCTACAAGAAACATTGATGTACACAAAAATGTCAAAAATAAAAAAGAGGGATAAACAAAAAAGATGTATCCCTCAGGAGCCAGTGCCCAGACCAGGTGTTTGGATGAGAAGGCGGCGGCGCAGGCAGGGCCGATGTTGGTCGGCGCCTTCGTGAAGCAGTGTGCCGCGGACGGGAGCTACGAGACGACGCAGTGCCACGGCTCCACCGGGTACGCACAGTTTATATTCATGAAGACCTTAATTATCGTGAAAGTCCATCTGTGTTGGTAGTAATCAAAGTAAAACGTTGTACTTTATTTTAATACACAATTTACAGAGATCAAATTTCAGCGACCACTGTCACCTATAATTAATTATCCTGATGAAGGCGACAGTGGTCGCTGAAAACTTGACGTTCAACGTTTTACTACAAGACCTTTATTGCACATTTTTGTCCCACTGGGCTAAGCACAAGTCACATTATACATATACATATACGAATTCATATAAATATACCATAACTATTGCACGTACATGTATATATAAATGTCTAATGTATTCTAGTCTTTTCAACTTCTTCTCGTTTCTTACTTCTACTTCTATGTAATACTGGTCAAAACCCCTCACTGGGGCATCACGACCAGGGTTCTTTCTTAGTAATTGTATAATTGTACAATGCTGTATGAGTAGTTAGATTTGGTTTATCAAAGGTTAACGGGAGTATAAATTTTTCTTTACTTCTCTTGAAGAATCCGAAGAGGGGAAATTTACTTAAAACATGTCCGAAAAGTATGCGTCTATCACTGTCATAGGCCAGTATATATCCAACGCTTTAGTTAAAAGGAATCATATTGGACTCAACCAACTGATGTACACTCTAGCTTATACAGTATAGAATATAGAACATAGAATATAGAACTCAAGACATGCATTATCATGTAAGACATGCTCCATATATACATACATGTACTATATTACCTTTTTGAAGAAGTTCAATATTATTTTCGATACATAGAACTTGTAGGTATTACTGTAGACGTAAGAGTAGATGTTAGTCAGATATGTAGTACTGAAGAGTTTGCCATGCATTGTACCCATTACAATTGTTGAGCAATAAAGATTGACTTGAATTGACATATAAAGGTACTGCTACTGCGCCCGGCCGGACACGGGGGACGTGTTTCAGGAGACGGCGTACCGGGCCTGGCAGGGTTCGCAGCACGACTGTGGCTCGTACTGGACGGCCCAGGGGCTACTTCTGACCGATGACGGACCAACAGTTGCCCTTAGCCCGGAGAGGTTCAACTTCGATGTCGTCCAGCCTCGGCCGACTAACAGTAAGTACAAAATGATGAGCTTTTGTCTTGTGAAAGTTTGGGAAAAAAGATGTTTAGAAAGGAATCCGAAGTATCAGAAAGTAGTAAGTCCCCCACAGTAACGTTTCAGGAGCTTTTGAAGCGCCACTCAGTGAAAGTTCATGTCTAGGCCTGGCACCGTTGACTATGATCTCACATCCAGGCCTTGTATCTGCCAGACTGAATAAAAAATTAAAATAGTAGAAATCGGCCTAAAAAGAATGTAGCTGACCAGGCCGGATTTGGCCTGCCATAAAGGGTCTAGTTTGCAAAGCAATAAACGGTTTACTACTCTGGTACTTCGCACGCATCTTTAAACCCATTTGTGGACATCAAAAAGGATAGCGACTTCTTACAGACTTTATGCAGGCAAACTGGACCCTCTAACACCTCCCCTGGCCAGCTATATTCTTTTGAGGCCGGTTTCTACTATCTATTCAGCCTACAAAGAGTCTGGTGGGCCGTGGAGACCATATCTGCCCCTGTCAGCGCCCTAACTCGTGCCTACTTCCCCGGAGCACGTCACTGGGGTCTCGCGTTACCAATTTGGTCGTCCTCGTGACCTTGACTGTCCCTGGCATTCGAAACATCTGCCCGTGAAGTCTGACTAAAAATTGCTGAAAGCCGGTCACTGAACTCTGATTCTCAGACCCCTTACCGGGACGGCGAATGGCCAGAACAAACATGGCAGCTAGAGGACCTCCAGTTTCTGCTTATAACCAGCTAACCTATAACTGTCCAGTATGGATGAAGTAGGGACTGGCCAGTATTGATGGGCTGATCTTTTGATTTCTTTACCGTCCACCACGGGTAGAGACTACTCACGGCAACCATACACTAAGGAGTCGTAGAAATCTCCAAGATGTTGGGATGGACGCAACGTTTTCTGGCTGAAAAAATTCTTTATTTAGCAGTTGGGTGGATGTTTTAACAATTGGATAGCCAGAAAACGTTACGATATTCCATCCCAACATCTGCTTGGAGATGAGGTCAAAGCTATGATCATGGCGACTGATCAGTTCAAACTGTTATATCGGGGAACAAGCTTTCGTCAGTCTGGAGTCACTCTGGACAGTCATTCTGTCGGTTGTTTGAATTTTCAAGACGTGCGCGGCCCTCAACACGGAGGTTTAACTCTGTGACATTTGGAGCTGACGGAAACTAACCAGGACGGCCTCAAGCTACTACAAGGCCTTTCTCATTAACTGTTCAGATGACGTTCTCTCGACATAGCAACAACGTCAAGATAAAGGAAATTGTAACTACACAAACTAAAATAGCTGAGCGTTGTCATGCATCTCTGTGGGAACTATTTAGCTTTAGCTTTAGTAGGTACAGTTTTTTTTATAAATTGTTCCCTCATTTTGTTGAAGCATCCCTGCCACCTTTAATAATTTGGGGCCTTGGTTGACAAGCTTTTTTTTTTCTCAGACGATAACAACATGTCCACACAATGTTGTTTTTCCAATTACATGCACTGCAGCCACCATGCAGCACCACCAGGTCATATGTCACAACAGACAGTCTAATTGCCTCAGCAGGTGAAGATGAAGTCATGATATTAAATCCACATGATCCCTCGCAGAAGATGACTCTCACAGATCGCCCAGGGGTGGTTCTTTTGTCCAGGGCCTGCCAGACATAATTAGTTTACACAATGTATTTATTGAATGTCTACTAGGTAAGGGGTTTTTAGGAATACCTGTTGCTGCAAAATTTCGCGACAGTCAGACATGAAAGCAGCACGCGTACGAACTGTTTCAAATCGAAATGTCGAAAACCGTATGGGTTCTTTGGTAAAATCCAGCGAGCCGAAATTGAGCCGTCTGGACTTGACATTGAATGGTCTTGAACAGTTTGATCAGTCGGTCTACAGGCGGAAGGGCACGTTCAAGTTCGTTTGATCTTACAGGAGGGTAAAGAAGAAGAAAGAATAAGAACGTCGACGCCGTCCGTTTTTCTTTTGCTTCTTTTGTCCATTCGGTAGACTGTTGTTTCTATCAATGTCGTCAGCTCAGCTAGACAGACGTTGCACACGCCTCCTGCCTCCTTCGCAGTCTTGTTGGGCGTCGGCGTTATTTTTTCTCTGAGCGACGCGAGTAATATGCGGCCGCGAGGGACGATTTGCTGCCGAGGGAGTTTTTGCCACGGTCACGGAGAGAAGGTTTCGCGCTCCTTCTCTCCGTGGCAAAAACTCCCTCGGCAGCAAATCGTCCCTCGCGGCCGCATATTACTCGCGTCGATCAGAGAAAAAATAACGCCGACGCCCAACAAGACTGCGAAGGAGGCTAATTAAGGCCCAACTAATCCAATTAATAGATTATCATCTGACGCTAATTGAGTTGCCGAAAAAGCTTTAAACTTTCGACATAAAAGGGTCTCCGTTTATTTGACCTCTACTCGTCCGAAGTGTGCTGGCGAATAAGTGGTGCTGTTCTAGCCTACACTGCAGGCTACGGGGTTACTTGTTTTGATGCTGTGTCTTTTCTGTATTTACTGGTATTACGTAGACGCTGCTACCCTATTTCATTGTCAAAGACACGAACCATCGGAACACCGTAGCAATGAAAATGGGCAAATGAAAGGAGGTTAAAAATTTAGTACTAATCTGTAAAATGTCGACAAGACCAGCGGGAGAGCCTGCTATGGAGGCTAGTGGTGTTGCGCAGAACCCCATACAGGCCCCGCAGCTGTCACACAACTGTCTAGTCCGCGAGCTCGTCACACAAGTTCCAGCCGCTAGTCGCAAGTGAGGTTTCTCCCGAAAAACAAGTACCGTACCGATCTGTTGAACGATGTTGAGCAGGAACGTGGCAGTGCTGGGGATGGTCCTGGCTGGGCTGATGCTGGTCCAAGGTAGGCAGAATGGAGGGAATGTGTCTGTGTGGCCGCGCCCGTCACCACGTGCCACATTCTCGATTGCCTAGATTTTCTTTGTCAGTAGAAATTATGGCCATCCGTCCGCTGTGTTAGACGCTAAACGGGAGAAGTGCGCCTAGGGCGATCTTCTTCGGGCCGTTACATCCAAATTCTTACTGTTGTCCTGCGTTTGGTTGTAACTGGCCTCGGACACTTGCGGGCCCGACTCCGTCCAGGGCACAACTGAACCGCCCTGATGTTGTTTTTCCCTGTGCCCGCCTGTCTCTGACCCTTGGGCGTGATAGTTCACAGGGCCAAGTGGCCTTTCCGTCCTCAAGCCTGGTAGAGGCTAGCAAGGCTCCGTTTCGGACTGAACTTCGTGGCTCTAAACGCTGGAAGGTATTTCTCTGGATCATACGTTCGCAACGAACATTGCCGACGTCCCTGTAGTGTAGACATGGTGGCCGACCGGTTAGACGAGTAAATATTAGCTTAGTGTGAAACTACCAGAGTAGATGACAGCAGAAAAACTGCTGCAGGGCTTGGCACCCAAACAGTATTTGCATTAGAAAGTTGAAGGGATAATGATGCAGATATCTGTTCTCTCGATCAAAACATTTCCACCTGGTTTCACCTCAGCCCCTCTGGGATCCTAACAAAGAAAGACTCTAAACGCTGGAAGGTATTTCTCTGGATCATACGTTCGCAACGAACATTGCCGACGTCCCTGTAGTGTAGACATGGTGGCCGACCGGTTAGACGAGTAAATATTAGCTTAGTGTGAAACTACCAGAGTAGATGACAGCAGAAAAACTGCTGCAGGGCTTGGCACCCAAACAGTATTTGCATTAGAAAGTTGAAGGGATAATGATGCAGATATCTGTTCTCTCGATCAAAACATTTCCACCTGGTTTCACCTCAGCCCCTCTGGGATCTACGATGGTGACCCAGCGTCGCGTATAATAATGCTGAGGTCACATTTCCGAAACGGGGACCGGCGGGCAGTCTTATGGAACGAAAAGTATGAAATACAAGACAGCAAAGCACAAAAAAGTTTTTGAAAATTACTAATGGGAACTGTTTGCGTATATGATTGCTATAAATGATTCATTTTTCGTTAATTGAAACGGCCCGGCCGGGCCCCGGTTTGGAAATGTGACCTCAGCATAAGCAAGGAGCTTTCAGCACAGAACGTCCTTGGTATGAGTAATCTCGATGGACGTCTTTATATAGTGTTTCGTCTGTTCTTGCCACGCGAGTTCAAAACACAGGGGAAGAACGTCCAAAACAAGCTGAAGCCATATACATCTGTAGCCTCTACCAGGGACCGCGGATCGCTGGAAAAATATTTTGGATCGCTGGAGAAATTGGCCGAAATAAAGGGATAGTATATACCAGAGAAGATCCTTATAAGCCACAGACCTTTATTTCGGCCAATTTCTACTAATTTTCCAGCGATCCGCGGTGCCTGGTAGAGGCTAATGGGTATAAATGCATCTGCATGGCAATGTTTCTTTCCCGTGTGACCAGATGTGTTTTCGTGTAGCGCCAGTCAGTCCATTCACAGATAATAGTAATGGCGGTGCTGTAGAAAGTACATACAGTCAATTTGCTGATTTGATTACCCGACTCTGTCGGGATTTTTAATTACTGCCAATATAATGGCCGGACGTACTAACGTGTTAAGTGGTGGGTGCAGCTACTCTCTCTGGTTTCGTCAAGGACATTATGAAGTCCTTGGTTAGAACATACGTTTACGATGTACGATTTTTTTTTATATTTATAGATTCGTAACCCACCAGTGGTTTTCCTCTGATCTTAATACGCATTGTTGGTGTTTGTGTTGTCATCTTTTATCTGTGTGCAAATGAATAATTCAAATCAAACTGAAGCCAGTTGCCCTTTTGGGGACCACCTATGACCGTTCAGTGCAGCCCTTTGTTGCTGTGTCCATTTCTGAAGGGCCTCTGCAGTTAGGCGTGAAATGTAATTCTTCACGGTGTGTGTGTGCTCGTGTGGGTGTGGACAAGGAGCCCCGTCTGTTCTATTCAATCTCCAAGAATGCTGTATCTTTGGGGGCTCGAAGGGGGCTGTGCGATCACCCGAGATGAAAACGCGCACGG